TGTAAAATATCTTTATTGTGCAAAAGAGCTAAAAAGCAGAACTCAACAGTATATAGATAAATCTGTGGTGTACAGTAAGCACACGGCAGCCTCTCTGGCTCGGCAACAACAGTGCTGAATTCTGTTTCACATCCAGATTTCTTAAGTTATTTCTTTCATATGTGTGTCTCGTTCACTCGCACAGTAAACATCACTGTCGTCCATGGTGTCAGTAGCAGCCATGTTCAGCGTTTTTTTTGAAGCAGAGGGCCGCAAGACCTCACTTCTGAGCTGACCGACAGAGGTGTATCACAGAGGGGACTAGTGGACACACAGGCCTGGCTAGTGAGCTGCTATGCTAAAGGCTAAATCAAGGCTAAATGCTATCATTACGCAGAGAGTCCAGTGGTTCCCACATAACAATCTGGACAAGCATTAACTCAGACTGTGATTACACAGCAGCAGAAGAGTGTTTACTGAAAGAAGCCTGGCTCAGACATTCAGGTGAGCGGCGCATGGTAGCGTGTTTTTCCTAAGAAATACTGATTTCACAGATTTCGCCTTGAGCATTTTACCATCCCACACAGGTGATGTCTTGCTAAGTTAACGTCAGAAATTGCTTTATGGTGCCGATTATTGGTATTGGTATCTAAATTTCTGATACTGATACTGTGCTTAAGTGCTAGTATCGCCTCCAATAAATATATATCAGCCACATGTTAATTAACGGTTTTTGTATCAGGTCCAGAAATACCTGTAAGCTCATTACTAATAAAGAGAATAAATATATTAATTACTCTCTATCAGTGGAGATATTTTTTGTGAGACGCTGTAGTTGATACTTAATTGCAGACGTGTCAGTGTCAGAGAGAGCGCAGGGTAAGCTGGGTGTATGCCCTCTGCAGGTTTCTTGCCTTCTTCATATTCATTGTTTCCTTTTGCTTACACTGCACTTTCAAAAACACTTCCCCAAATTAAATCACACACACAAACACACACACACTCGCTCATACCCCCAAATTGCATCTCAGGAAGAAAGACCCTGCCAGCTCAGCTTACCCCACCATTTTACATAGAGGCGGTTGATGTGCTGCTGACACTGACTAATAAATTAATACCTCCGAGTCAACATTACGAACCATGTAATTATGCATCTGAAGCTTGTGTGATTAAGTAAGCACAGGTCTCTGTCCACCACTTTCCTCAGCATTCACACTGAGAAGATAAAAATGTTTCGAGATGTTTTCTTTAGGGAAAAAATAGCAAAGATGAAAAAATGTTCTCTCGAGTGAAGATATGTGAGCAAGAGCGGGAGATAGGAAAAGAGCATGCAACAGAAGGACTTAGAAAGAAAGAAACAGAGAAAATGCCAAATAAGGCAAAGAGCCTTGCACCAAGAGAAGGAGACAAAGAGAGACATATAAAAGAAAGAGTAAGCAAGTGAAAGAGAGACAGACAGGAGGGGATGTAAGGCTGTGTGTTTCTTTACCCTCCCTGGAAAGAAGCTCAGATTAAAGAGTAGCTGGATTGTAAAATGCCTCCTGCCAGAGTGGGCCAGCTTCTCAGGACCTGTGGGCTCTTTTACAGATTGTTTTGTCTTGTTGGACGGGGAAGGGCTGTGTGTCCTCTAATGCTATTCCTTGTACTGCTTCAAAGAGCCCTTATCCTACAACTTTCTAGTATTTTCTTGTGTTTTGTTATGCTTGTATTCTTTTTTCATTGAAACACAGTTATAAAGCTTGTTTTTTTTTGTACTCGAAATGGTCATAACTCATTTGTACATGGTCTTTCTAACCTCTCTATATGTATTAGAAACAGGTTGTCAAACAGGCTGTTTTTATTACTTAGATGTACATTACAGTTCAAAAGTTTGGAATCACTTGTCTTGCAGTATTACATTATCCCATGATAATATACAGTATAGATTAAAATGTTACAAAATAAACACTAAAATGAAAACTGATGGGTTATTCACAGTTTGAAGTATTTTGGGAAGTGTTAAAATCATTAAATAAATAACTGTACTGATCTATTCAGTAATTTCTTGGCACTAAATTACTATGAATATCTGTTTGATTACCATCACTGTCTTTCAGTTATGACGCATTCTTTTTTTTAATTTCATTGTAGTATAACTTATTTATTATGAAATCTGTAAGGGATGAACCTGCCAACAGAGGGTGGCGAAGCGCGACTGGCCCACGGAACTCCAATTCCCTGGTTTGGAGGATCCTGTTTACATTAGCCATATTCAAAAAAATGAACAAACTACACATTCTTAGTTTATTTAAACTCTTTTTTGAGCAGCTGCTGCAGGAAATGGTGCAGCAACAGAACCTTCTGGTCAGGGTTCAGACTGAGTGTACTCAGCCAGCCACCTTAGGGTGCACAGTTGCTCAGCCAAAATGCTACTTCTGAAATTCCCTCTCCAGCCCCTTCTTGTTGATCCTGTCCCCAGGTGGGGGGGGATCCTGGTAGCTAACCCCAAGAAGTTTACTGGGGACCTGGCGGGCTGCAGAAGGTTCCTGCTGTATAGTCCAGTATAGCCTACGTCATCTCACTCCCAACAGGTAGGGCTCTGGCTTGAGGCACTTCTCTGTGGGAACAAAACTACCCTCAATGTGCCATGGGTGAGGCTTTTATCAAGGCAATGCACCAGACCTTCTATTGACACTCTCCCAAGGTGCCCACTCAGTGGCCAATTATGTCATCGACATTCACACCTTAGCCACTGAGTGCGCGCAAGGCCATCTTCCAGCAGGGATTCAATGAGAAGTTCAAGGATGAGCTAGCTCTTAGGGAGCTGCCCTCCACTCTGGAAAGTCTTTGTATGTCGATGAATGGCCCAGGGGGACTGTTGAGTGGCTCACATTTGTCCTCCCCCCACATCAGGGCTCCATTTGAAGCGAGCTTTCATGGGGACACTGTCAACACACCATCCTGTGTGCCTTTATTGATTCAGGGGTGGCAGGTAGCTGTTTTGATGCCTTGGCTTTTGACCTGGGCCTGCCCTTTGAGCCCTTGGTCAGACCCTAGGATCTAGGGCTACCTGAGCTTCCCCACTAAGCTCAATGGACAGTTCCTAGGATCTAGGCCGCAGGATCACTCTGCAGATTGGCTCTCACACTGAGAACATTGTGCTGTATGTTACCCCAGCCCTATACTGATAACTGGTGTTGGGATTCTCCTAGTTGGATCAGCACATCCTGCGCATAGATCGGTACATTCGGTCTGTGTTTGTGTGAGGGCCTCAGTGTAAGTGTCATTGCCTAGGCGACTCTAGGTCCACACAAATGCCACCCCTACTAAGGACCCAGATAGTACTGGACCCTCTGGGAGGTCTTTAGCAAGAAAAAAGCCCAGGCCCTGATGTCCCACAGGGCATATGATTGCACTATCAACCTGCTTCACCACCCCACAGACAGCTGTTTTTACTCTCACTCCCTAAACGGGTCACCAAGGATGAACACATCTGGCAAGCGCTGGAGCACTTGTTCACCCATCCTACTATCATACTTTTTTGTTGGGAAAAACGATGGAGGTCTCCACCTCTGCGTGGACTATAGGAAAGACTGCCACTCACTGCAGCATTCCCCATTCACCATACTGGATTTGCACAGTGCCTATAACCTGATACGCATTCAGCAGGGGAATGAATGGAGGACAGAGTTCTTTACCCCCACAGGGCATTATAAGTACTATGTAATGCCCTTTGTACTTATGAATGGGTCTTTCAGTGCTTTAATAATGAAGTGCTGATGGAGGCCCTGGGTCACTGTGCATATGTCTGCCTCATCGACAGGCACCTCTGGAGCCTGATTCCTCCCTGGGACCCATTCCCGCTCTTCGGATCCTGGCCCCCCTTCTCTGGGAGCTGGAGACCACCAACAGGGAGGCCCTACAACCAGAACCAGATCCCAGGGATGGCCCCCCAGGAAAACATACATGCCCACAGCTGCGTGGCAGCGAGTCCTCTTTTGGGACTTGCTGACATACGAGTCCCACAGTAAGACTCGCCTCCTCATTCTTGGGGCATCCAGGGCTGACTAGAAATTTCTCCACAGGCAATTCTGTTGGTGAGACATGTACATAACAAGGCACCCAGAGCAAGGCCCCATGGCCTCCTCCACCCCTTTACACCAAGACGACAAGGGAACGTCTGTTACATCATGTGGTCAGGATGCATGGCATGCATAGCAGTCTGGTGTCTGAACAAGGACCCCAGTTCCCTAGCCACTTTTTGAAGGCCTTCTGCTGAGTAAGAGGAGCCTCCATTAGTCTCTCCTTCGGCTTCCACCCAGAGTCCAATGGCCAGACTGAGAGGGTCAATCAGGACATTGGCCAGACTCTGCAGTGCTTGATATGCATCAACCCCTGATCTTGGGTGAAGCATCTCCCTTGGGTGGAATATTCCCATAATATCCTTTGGCATTTGTTATTGGGCATGTCACCCTTTAAATCCCAGTTCTGTTTCCTGTACTTGTGTTCGCTGAGCAGGAGTGCTGGCTTTTGTGCAGCGGTGCTGGAGGGCATTGTGGAAGGCTGGCACTGCCCTCCTGACCATGACCAAGGCAAGGAAGCAGGTGGCGGATTGCAAGAGGCACCTAGCATCAACTTTTCATCTAGGCCAGTAAGTTTGGCTCTCAGCCAAGAACCTCCCACTCTGCTCCGAGTCCAAAAAACTGGCATCAAGGTATGTGGGGCCATTCAAGGTCATTTGGCGCATCAGTCTGGTCACCTACTAGTTACACCTTTATCCCTTGTGCCTTAGACAGCTCCTGTGCAGAGAGGGGGCCCTGTCGGCTCGACCATCCCACACATTGCCTCATCACCGACTCCTCTGCCTACACACTCCAACACCTTCTAGACTCCTGCCAGGTGTGGGGTGGCACCCAGTTCCTGGTAGACTGGTAGGGCTACAGATATGAGGAACAATTCTGGGTTCCTGCTCGCCACATCCTAGATTCAGAACTCGTTAAGGAGTTCTGGCAGACGCACACTGTGGGCCTGGAGATTTCTGGAGCCATCTTTTGGAGGGGGGGTCCTGTAAGGGATCAGCCTGTGTCACTGCCCACCAGCAGAGGGTGACAGCATCACACCTTTCTAGAGGGTTGACCGATGCGGTACTCAGCTTTATTGTCTGAAAGAGAAGAAAAGAGGACTAAAAAGAGAAAGAGTGTTTAAACAAGAAACAGCTCCGAGCTAAACAAAAAGAGAAGAAGAGCCACAAAAACTGTCCTAATATATAAAGAACAAAAGGAAAAATAATAATGATTGTCCTCTAATAACTAGAGAGGAAGTGTCTTTGTTTTCTGATTATTTTTTATTTTTACTTTGAAATTTGCCTTTGTTTGTTAGAGGATGCCATTTCAGTGTTGCTTTTGTTTGGCTGTTCCTGACAATGCTTTAGGCCATCATCACATCCACAGGTCAATCCCAGCACATAGTGACCTCATACCAAACATGCACAATCACTGTATGCAAAGCTCGCCCACACCCTTCATTATTAGTTATATCATTTATATTCTGAGAATCTGTTTACAGTAACCATATTAACAATATTCAACAAACTATACATGAATGTTTCTGAAACAAAACAGGTTTTATTGTAATAAAAACAGTGATCCCAAATGTTTGAACAGTTATTACAATTTTTCTTTTTTTACATGACCTCTGTTCTAACTGGCACTGTGTGATGCCTCATTCAAAAAAACAGCAGTCCAAGCCAAAATGTACGAAACACACAATTCAGGCAATACAATAATAGCTTTTTTCCCCCAAAATCTTCTGCTCCAGTAAGCCTTTTATTCTCGCGTGTGATGTCACACTGTATAGTCGCCACCATTTTGAGGACTGAACCAGGGAGTGACTGCACTAGCGTGATGCCTTCAATTTGCTGTGCAGCGAAGCCAGAATTTCAGTCCCAAATATGGCAGACACAACAGGAAAATCACATGACTGAAACCCTAGGATAGACTGCCTGCAATAGCAACACTCCTTATCACTTCAACATGAATGGCTGGCTAAACTATAATGTGGTCATATGTTCATGGTTGTGATGTTAGAATAACCATGACGCATAGTTTTGCAACTTTGTTTCCAGGTATGGACCATATGGACTGAGAGTAAGCGGTGCATTCTGAAACAATGTTTGCACAAATCCTTTTCCTTTCAAAAAGCAAGGAAAATTAGTTTTTACATGATGTGGGACCTTCAGAATATCTGGCTGGCACTAATGGTATCTTTTCTGTCCCTGTAGCTCTCACTCAGCTGAAGATTCCTGGAACAGGAGCGTGAGGGAGACTTAGTCATACTAATCATGGACACACACACACGCGAACACACAGATCAGGTCCGGCAGATTAAATTTAGTGTACTTTGAACTTTACTGCAGAAAGAGGCCATTTAGGATTCAGAATTAATGTTGCAGGAGGAATTAGATGACTGAGATGAAGATGCAGAGGTAGAGAAATGTGTGGGTTTCAAAGCACTGTGGGTGTTTGGTGAGTGAACTTTTGTTTTTTGTGTGTGTGTGTGTGTATGTGTGTGTGTGTGTGTGTGTTTGTGTGTCTTTGATCTGTTTTTAGGTGGTTTGGGCAGAACAGCAGGTTGCCAAGCGGAGGAGGAAGAGAGATATTTACAGTGAGCCCACAGATCCAAAGTTCCCCCAGCAGTGGTACCTGGTAAGTGGACAAGCTTTAGCCTGCAGACTCCTCTTCAAATCTTCCCTCTATCAGTCAGCAACAGTTAAACCCTTCACTTAAACTGCTGCTGTCACACCAAAATAGATGAGACTGCCAGTGGTTTTTGTTTTGGCATTTGCAATTAAATGTCTTACAGCAGTTACTCTGGTTATTTTGATTGAATTCGTCAGTGGGGCTCAATCAATTTGTACTCGCCGACAAACTGTGCCCATTCATCAACAAGACCCTTAAGTCACAATTTGATTGAGATTTTGTAGTCATGATCATGAGTTCTAGATAGATAGATAGATTTATTAACCTGGTGGTTCTTTTAAATAATTCATTATCAAAGATATTAGCTATTAAAGAAATCTGCCTCTGACCACCAAACTACACAGCAAAAATAGAAAGAAAGAACCAGAAGAACAAAGAAATACAGATGGATGAGTGCAATGGTTGATTGCAGACACTGTACAGTAGTCATCCGTGAGATGTGTTAGAATGCAGCTGAAGTGTGGCTTTGTCCTGATCTCACCTCCATAATGTATGCAGTCCACGAATTGCACGTGTACTAATGTGTTTTGCTTGTCCCTGACAGAAATTACCTGAAAACATCAAACCAAAAGCCATCACTGCCATCGAGTATTAGACATGTAATCTGTTAGATATTCAGCTCTTTCAGGCCAGCTGACAGGCCATCTGCATTTGAAAACACGCAGAGCTGCTTCTGAAGGCGCTATGCTAGGAGCACAGATGCCGTGTGGTGATAGAGGACTGAATGCGTTTTGTAGATTATTTATTTTCACTGAGGAGAGCAGCCAGTTTCATTTGTGACAGTTTGTTGTTTTGCAGTGATTTAAAAAGGGCCCAGTTATCTACAATCTTGTCAGTAGCTGTATTGCTATTGTGGGCACACCCAATTTCAAAAATTACATTTAATGCATCAAATACTAAGATTCCTTTCAGAGGAGAGCTGGTAAAAGCCGAAGTAAAGCAAAGAAAACAAGGTGAAGCTAGGGAGAGTGAAAATTAAGAAAAAAAATAAAAAAAAGAAGAATAGTAGCTGCTTTGGCAGTACTGAACAGTCAAGCCAGTAGTTTTACTGTACTGAAACAAACTGGACAGGAAAAGAAAGAAGAGATCGAGGAAATGAAAAGAAGAAAATGAAAGAAAATAAAGAAGTCAAGAAAAAAGGCAAGATATTAAATGGTAATTAAATGTCCTAAAGCATGTGGACACCCACACATCACATCCATATGTGTTTGTTAAACGTCTTATTTCAAAACCCCTTTTGCTGCACTAACAGCCTCTGCTTTTCTGGGAAGCCTTTCCACTAGATGTTGGAACATGAATGAAGGAATTCTCTCCCCTTTAGCCATAACAGCATTAGTGAGGTCAGTCACTGATGTCTGATGTTGGGTGACAAGTCTGTTTCATTTCAAAAGAGTTGGTTTGAGTTGAAGTCAAAGGTCTGCACAGGTCAATCAAGTTTGTCCTGACCAAGCTCAGCAAACTATTTCTTTATGGACTTCATTTGGTGTATGGAGGCATTGTCATGCCATCAGACTGCCAGATGGTGAAGCTTGATTCATCACTTCCACTCCTCTGGAGTCCAGTAGGGGTTAGCTGGATAGTGTGTTGTCTGGCTGACTTTTGGCATTGAACATGGTGATCCTAGGTGTGGCTGCTTGGTCAGTGTAGTCACCATGAAAACTCAATCCATGAAGTTCCTGATAAAAAAGGTCTTGTACAGACGTTGCTACCACTCACTGACCTTTTTGCATCTTTATTACAGAAAACAAACACAACAACACATAAGAGTTTGTAAAACAATCTGAAAATGAATTGGGGAAAGTAAGTAGGCTACAGTGTTTGAATTCTTATCATTGAAAATTATTTCATAATTTTTCTTTTTTTCATAATAATAAAAAAAGAAATTCTCATGGACCCATGCAATTATGCCAATTGACATGTTATTCAACACAATGCTGCTCACCTCCTTGACAGTTGGCAGTAGGGTTAGTTCATTGGTAGGGCTATGGGGATTGATGAGGAGACGGGGCTGCTGAGCCTGAGGCATTGTAAATTAAATATTTTATCAGTGATCATAGGTTAATAATTTAATGTTGGAAAATTACCTAATGTCCAAATAACCTTTTAGGGCCACTCTCATTTACAGGCCCTTAGAGTTTTGTGTTATGCAGTACATGCTTCAGCACTCAGCAGTCCACTTATGTGAGCTTGTGTAGTCTACTGCTTCACAACTGAGCTGCTGTTGCTCCTAGAAGTTTCTCATCCGATAACAATGCCACATTGAAAGTCAGTATAAAATGATCCACCCTGCTGCCATTGTTTGTCTATAGAGATTGCATGGCTTGATTTTAAGCACCACTTAGCAATGGGTGTTGCTGATATAACTAAACCCCTTTTATGAGGACAATACTTAGTGTTAGTTGGAGTTAGTTGGATCATGAAGCAGAAAATGCAAACTTTTAAAACTGAGCTATAGAGGTGAGGAAAAAGACTGCAGAGATTGCAGATGTCTTTAAAGGGCTAAAAGCAAGTCTCCCAAAATGAATGGAAGCTGTAATAAAGACAAAGAGTGGACACACTAAATACCAAAAAAGCATTTAGTCATATTTAGCTGTTGAGGCTTCTATGTAATGTTTGGTTAAAATTGTTTTCTGCTGTTTTTTCCCCATGACGCTGAAAAAAAAGAGCTTACATTTTATGGCTGGAAATTAAATAAATGAAAGGGTGATCTCTGACCTTGAAACAGTACTGTAGCGTAGGCAGAAAAATATAGATGCAAAAATAAAAGAAAGAAATAAACAAAGGAAGGAAGGAAAAGGAAGAGAAAAAAGATGGAAAGATGAAGAATAATATGAGGGAAGAAAGCAGAAAGAAAAGCAGAGTGAATCTAGAAGGTCTTGCTTCATGTTTGCTGTGCATTTGCATATGTGTGTGGAGTGATGGTGTGTGTGCTGCCTCCCCACACTGGGTGTGTGAATGTGACTTCCTGCAGCACTCTGGGCTTTTCCTGCCAACAGACGCTGTTTGGGATAAAATGGGCTGTATGTGTGAGACACATCAGGAATCTTCTCTTATTAGCATTAGCTCATTGTGTGGGCTTCCCCCCACTAGAAAGGGTGCATCGTGAGTGTGTGTATGTGATGATGTGTGGGTGAGTGTATTAGTTCAGCATGCGGGCTTCTGCGCACTGGGCTGTCAGTCAGAGAGTGTGACTGGTTAACTCTTCCTCAGTGCAGTGAGACACCAAGACTTCATGTGGAGAAGCTTCCACACTGAGCTTTACTGCTGCGCTCTCCACGTCAAACATTCACTCTCCTGCTGGCACATCAGCACTGCAGAAATGTACTTCTTCACTTATTATTTGTTCTGCTGTATTGCATTGCTGCCAAGATTTGCTGGTGTGTGTGTGTGTGTGTGTGTGTGTGTTAGGGCCGAAGCGATATATTGACCAATACAAAAGTTCCACCTGTTTATTGACATCCACTAAAATCTTGACAATAAAGCACTGTTAATGTCTTTAAATGCTATTTAAGAGTGATACATTCAGGAATATAATTCTATTTTCAAGCACAACTAAACATAAAAAATGCATTTTGTGTCAAACATTCTTTGCTGTTTATTTGACTTTAAGAAATTTGGACAATTGGGAAGTGACAGTCATATTTGACAACTGGCAATCATATCAGTCAGTAAAACTCTGTTTAACTAAAACTGTCAGTTCACTATTACACACAAAGTGTTTTTGATGTTTAACAATATAAACTTTGGACTAGCTCATTTTAATCAGTATTAAGAAAAAAAATTTCAAGTTGGATGGGCCCTAGTATGTGTGTGGCTTGTATGTGTTTTCATCATTTTCATGACAGAAAACCTAGGAAAGCCAGAACTAGCCTACAATGTCAGGACCAGCAAATAGCTTTGTAAAGTGCCTTTTACCAAACCTCTATGACTAATTTTTTAAACTCAAAGACTAAACCATTTATTTTTGACTACTGAGGTTAGGGTAAGACTTGGGTTCAAGGTTAGGCGAAGAAAATTCAGGCACTTACATGTATGTAATGAATATGGGGCATATCTGTGTAATACATATACAACATTTTATTACACATACAGTGCTGTGCATTCAGAGCCCAGCCTTTCATGTATTCAACTTCCAGTTAAAACAACCTTTAAGTACAAGTTATTTATTTTTCAGTCTCAGAAAAAAACAGGTGTTTAACCAAAAATTACACTGAAGCCCCCAAGACTAATTCATCAATATTTAATTTGTGTGCTCTTTAATTTTGTGCACTGCCTTAACCCCTCCATCCTACCAGTTTTAAAATCAACCAGTTACAGCTGTGTCCTCCCAACGAAAGCTGTTCCCAAAGCTTTCACTGACATTATGTTCCTCTTCAAAAAACTCATAACATTCACACGAGCACCTACCCAAACTCACTTGAGCTGCCTTGTACATTTCTTTGATATGTGCAGCTAAAATGGAGATATTTCTGAGGAGAGTCAGATATAGATATTTGATGTATAGATATAAGCTATTCCGCTTGCATAAAGAAGGGAAATGTCAAAGGAAAAATAAGAACTGAAGTTTGTGTAAATGTTAAGAAGCCTATTCTGACAAAGAAAAGAAAATACACAAAAAAAGAATACAAACTGCACTACAACACTGAAACAGAACATCCGAGTTGTGCAGCAAGGTTTTATGCACTGATGGTATAAATTTGTCATTGGGATTACTTGAATCATTACAAGCAGAACTTTGGAGGTGTGGAAAAATATCCTTGTGGGTTTCTTTAAAAAGCTAAAAGCCTCCTGAAAAGAATGGAAGCGGTGATAAAGGAAAAGGGTGGACACACTGAATACTGAGAACAACATATATTTAGTTATTAAGCTGTTTGTGTATTTTTTGTCAAATATGTTTTCTGATTTTTTCTTGTCAATAAAAATAACTTGTACTTAATGGCCATTTTGCTACATATTATCATTACGGAAATGTAATGTACATAATACCTATATTTAATACATACATGTACATACATGGGATCCCACATTCTTACATCCTGACAGTATAAAACAAATCTGTGTGTATGTGTGTGTGTGTGTGTGTGTGTGTGCACTTCAGCTCACAGTGTCCTAATCAGCAAAACAGCTTTTTTTGCAAACTTGTTTTCTGTCTTAAATTAAGATATGCCAAAGTTACTTGGAAATGAAAGTAAAATATGAGAACAAAGTTATTTCATGCATGCATAAATACATCTGGTGAAATGGTTTTAGACTCTAGAAAAACTTTGATTTCATATGATTAGATACATAATTGGTTTCAGTATAGCTTTTCCATGTCTATAGGCGAAATGGGGTGAGGATAAGGGCCTTACTGTCTTATAATACATAACTCTATGATGCTGTGACAAAATGCAATTGGACACGTTGTTAAACCAGCCATTTGCCTGGCTGTTTACAACGCGTGCATTTGTTCCAGCATCAGAAATACTGCCAGTGTGTCTTACTGCACAATAAATGTGGTGTAAAGTACAATATATAAAGCGTAGTGGGCTATAATGACGCAGATGCCTGAGGAAAGTGTGGGTTGTGCACTGTACTTACTTTGTCCAATGTGTGAAATGTTGAATACTGCATAATATGTACTGAGTGAAGGTACAAAGTAAAATGAAGAGCTGAAATAACAGTTGAAGTCAAAAAACTTCAAATCGCAAGCTTCCCAAGTGGAGTGTGCTTCCTGATCTGTTGAAGCATAATTTATTATTTTATTTTATTTTTTTTGTTGCTTTGGTGTTCAGATTCTAGATACACATTTCAGTTACCGAGATTTAATTTTCTCTCTGACTTGCATTTGGCTTAGATACGCTTCAGTGTGCTAATCCAAAGAGAAACTAGATAGCAGTCTCATCTTTTCTGCTGTTGAATGCATTGGTTACATGCCCTATCTCTTTAATCCCACCAGTCTGTGATGTGTCGTCTAACATCTACCTTTAATTTGGCAGTACAACCTCAACCGACGGGACCTGCATGTAAAAGAGGCTTGGGCCCAAGGCTTCACTGGGAGGGGAGTGGTCATCACCATCCTGGATGACGGGATTGAGAAAGACCACCCTGATCTTGCACAGAATTACGTAAGTCACTGGATTACTTTAGAAACCTGTGCTAGAGCTTCATCTCAGCATGCATTAGACTTCAGAATGGTGCAGTTTATAAGAGGTTTTGTCCTGTAACTTGGCCACAGCCATCTGTGGAGAGCAGTTTTCCCTGCTGTTTTTTGTGTGAGAAAACTCTTTTCTGCTTGTTGGTCACAGTAAGGCTAGCCAATCATGGATGTCTGTCAGGTCATGTATACACAATGGGGTAATTTGGGCTCTTCTCCAAGTGTGTTCAGTGGCTCTATGACTTTGGCTAGACATGTAATTACACATACTACACACAATACAGAGACATCAGTGCAAAACCATGAAATTACAATGTGCAAAAGAGAATGAAACCAAGTGAAGTGAAGGTTAAATCACAGATCGCAGAATGAATAATGAATAAATATGTGGTGTCCCTATACTTGCAGGTTATTTAGAGGTCTGGAATATGACAATATTTTTCGCTATGGTAATAAATTACATCACATTACGTTCTGAACATATGATGTTTCATTATAATGAGAGCATAATTAATCCTGCTGAAATTAGTGCAGTATAACTCATGAAACATTTAATAAAATTTATTTTATCCATAGTTTTTGATAGTATTTTTAAAACGTTGCTTCTTTTTTGCTCTGGTTTCAAAGACATGCAGTCAGGCCAATTGGACATGCTAAATTGCCCCTAGGTGTGATTGTGCGTGTGATTGTACATGTCTGCCTGTCTGCCCTGTGATGGAATGGCGACCTGTCCAGGTTGTTTCCTGCCTTTCGCCCAAAAACCGCTGGGATAGGCTCCAGCACCCTCCGTGACCCAGAAAGTTTATCGGCTTAGATAACGTGTGTGTGTGTGTGTGTGTGTTTGCTTCTTTTTTGTCTGTTCTAACTTATCAAACCATAGAAAAACAAAATACTGTGATGTCTTAGAGTGAAATTATTTTTTTTCCATTTTCCATTACATACTGCAAAATGCTACTTTTGACTGCATATTATGCAGACTAAGACTAAGAAAACAATGGCTGTCTGTCATATTTTGCTGTATTGCCTACCCATAGGGTTATTGTGTATCAACATTTGTCTTATTATTCATTCTGAGAGACTGGGGATATGCAAGCACACTGAGAGCAGGCAGTGTGAAGCCTGATAGCAGCCAGCAGAAAATTCCCCAATAGGGCTTCCTAACACCTTGGTACAAAGAGCTGGTAGCTAAAGGTGCTCCTGGATATCACATTATGTAGAGGATGGACAAAATTGTTCATAATGCTCTCTAATTTTCATGCCATCATCTTCTTAATCACATACCTGCATTGAGTCCTACATTGGCTATACATCTTAGCCTTCATTCTCCCAGGTTGGTAGCTAGCACACTATAGGCAGACCTAGATAGACTAACTTTGGGGAAAAAAAAAAACAACTTCAGTGACCTTCAGTGTGGCACAGTTCCATCATACTGTACAAACCAATTTTGCAGACCATACGTCAAACAGTGAGCTTTTTCTCTAGCAAGATGTTCCTTTTCTTTTAACCCAGCCGTTCTTCAGGCTACTCAGGTCTAAGGGCACATTCACAGACATGAAAAATATACCATTCCTGTTCAGTGGATTCTATCTATTTCTCCAGGATCCGGATGCAAGTTATGATGTGAATGACAGAGATCCAGACCCACAGCCCAGATACACACAGCTGAATGACAACAGGTACAACTGATCATCTTGTTATGTCAGTGATGCTTCTTCTCAGTGTTATATCTAAATATGATCATGTCAAGCACTGTGCAAAAGTCAGAGACCATGCATTCTTTTATTTAATATCCAGTCGAAATGTCCATTAAGTACAAGTTATTCATTTTTCAGCACCAAGGAAAAAAGCAGGAAACATGTTTTTAAGATAAAACATTACACAGAAGCCTCCAGCACAAAATCCAGTATGAATGAAATCAGTATTTATTCTGTCCACTCTTTTGTGCACTGCAGTGCTTTAACTCTTCCATCCTTCCCATCTTAAAGCCAAATGGTTACATTAGTGTCCTGCCAACAAAAGCTGCTCCCAAAGCTCACACAAGCAACTGCCCAACCTTATCGTAGCTGCCTTACACATTTCTTTCTTATATACATCTAAAATGGCTAAAAGAGATATTCCTTAGGAGATTGGATAAAAAATAATCCACTTGCATAAGGAAAACAAAAGTCAAAGAAAAATAAGTAAAAAAAAACAGGAGTTTCCAAAGCTGGAGTTTAAAAAATTGTTAAAAGATTTTAAGAAAATTGAACGTCTAACAACCATGCAAGACCTGGTAGACCACCAAAACTGTAATTGTCAGATAAAAAATCTACAGGTGTTTCTGTCCATTATTCCAGTGTGAGAATACAACTCAGCAGTGTGGGTCTGAAAGAATGTGTAGCTGTCAAGAAGCCGTTATTGATCTGCACCTAAATACCAAAACTAGACATCAACTAGATGTGAGTAAGGTTTTATGGAATAATGAGTATAAATGTATAATTGAGACTGTTTGAATTGTGAGAAGCAGAAAATGTAACCAACGTCTAAGACTGAACTTTGGAGATGTGGAAAAATATCCCTGCAGATTGCTTTGAAAAACTGAGAGCAATTCTGCCGAAAAAAATGGAAGCTGTAAATAAGGCAAAGGGTATAGGCACAATAAATACTGACAATATTTATATTACATTTTTAGTTGTTGAGGCTTCTGTGTAATTTCATACATTTTTTTTTCTTGACACTGAAAAATGAACAACCTGTACTTAATGGCGGTTTTAATTAGAAATTGTATACACTTTATTATGAGCACTTTGAGTGTGACGTGTGAGTCAAACATATTGCAGAACATGTTTTCTTTTGAAATATTTAAATTACACCATATGTTGCATAGTGACTCAGATGACAGCACAAATCATACATATACACTACAGACACATATTTTCACCCACAGCTCCCTTCCTCATAAAAGAAAGAGTAAACCGTCTGCAATTTATGATTTGTTTGGCATGTAAAACCTCAAAAACTGGCCAACTTCTCATTCTGTGCATTTTTATGTAGTCTGTGCACCTGGCCTGAACCAAAAGGCTCTCCCCTCTAAAAACCCATGAAAGATTAATTTGGGAGGAAATCTCATAACTGTCTATTGCGGAGACGTGCTGTTAGCTCCCCTTGGGAGAGGGTGTCCTTCACTGCCTTTTCCCTCTTCAGACTCTCATTTCCACTTTCTCTCCTCCTCTTCTCCTCTATTTCTTTCACTCTCTCCTTCCTTCAAGTGGCGTCAGTCGCCTGCAACAGCACGACAGCAATTAACCTCTCTCTCTCTCTCGCTCTCTCTCTCTCTCTCGCTCTCGCTCTCTCTCTCTTTCTCTCTGTCTCACTCTTTCTCTCTGCTTCTCTCTATGCGCCTATCACTTTCTCACTCTCTCTGTCTGTCTCGGTCTTTCATTCTCTCTCACGCTCTCTTACTTTTTTTGTAATTCATATACTTCATATACATTTATTCAAACATTCAAAACCATTTTTACAACCTACATATATACACGAAATATCCTGAAGATACTTTACATATTACACAGTTTAATTATTTTTCTCTCTCTTTCTCTTTTCTCTCTCACTCTCTCTGTGTCTGTCTCATTCTCTTGCTCTATCACTCTCACCCACTCACTTGTTCTCTTTTTCTCTGTCTCACTCACTGTCTGTCCCTCTCTCTGTCTCCCTGTCTCTTTCTCTCTCTCTCTCTCTCTCTCTCTCTCTCTCTCTCTCTCTCTCTCTCTCTCTCACTCTCTCTGTCGGCCTGCTGGGATGCCTGGAAGTCTACATGTAGTTTTAACGCTATTATGTTTCCGAACACTTTCTGCTATACTTCAAAGATTCTGTCTCTCTCCTGGAGGATATTTGTTTCCTTTTTCTGACTCTTTCCCTCGTTCTGTCTCCCACCTCCTTTCCTTTTCACTTTCTAGGATGTCTTCTGTCTGTCTCTCTCTCTCCGTCTTCTGCAGTGAACCCACTGAGATTAAATTATCATCACTACTAAGGATGACGTTGTGTTGTTTACTTTGCCTGTTGCTGAAATCTCTCATAGTCACAGCTTTTCATGAAGTTAATTAAAGATCAGTGGTTAAACTGTTAGAGAAGCAGATGGAGCCCAGGGAATGCTCCTCTCCATCTCTCCCCAGCTTGTTCATCAGCCCGCCCCCAGTGCGCATCAGACCCAAAACCCTGTTCCGGAAATGTTGGGGGATTTGCCTCAAATCCCATGCTTTCCAGGCTGCTTGCCAGAGTGCCTTTTCACTCATTGCTCTGCTCTTTTTTTATTCTTCTTTAGAATTCCACAGTTAGTGTACAGAGAAAAAGGAGTGCAGAAGCCAATATCTCCTTCGAGTAGTAGAGCTCACAAAGTACCCAAAGCAAACCTGGTGTAATGAGTTTCTTAAAACCAATGCCATGATCTCCCAGCTCTCCTGACCAGCTGTTCTAGCTGGTCTCTGGGGGTTTGTGCCTGTTTGTATGGGTGTGTTTGCTTTTCATATGGATGCTTGGTTATTGCCAGATGGACAGTAAAGTGGTGATAGACTGGTTAGAGGTTTCTCTCTTGTCTTTCTATGAGAGCAGAGTGCAGAAGCAGAAGAGAACAGATGAGTGCCTGCTTTCTTTCACTTTAGCACAGCTCACCAGCTCCGAAAAAGCCAACAAGAAGCAAGGCACCACTCACGCACTTGAGCCGTCAAGACAATTATACTCAGTTTTAGCCCATGAAATGAGAAGCAAATTTGTGTTTTCTGTTCATACCACCAAAACTGCACAGCCCTTCTTTGTTGAGCCAAAGAGAGAAGAAATTACATCAGATGAGTGGTGTTATTCCCCACTGAGGGCCCAGCCAACTGTGAGGAACGTATACACTCACCTCCCAATGAGATTATATGAATATATTCATAAGGAACTTGGATTAAAGAGAGAGGAAGGCCATCTGTTCTGTGAAGGTCAGCTCATTTGTAACTTTTTATTGCGAGTTTTGAATTCATCTCCATTCACATTCGCACCCGTATCCATAATTTAAGGCTGTTCCTGGCCAGCTGCCCCCCTCCTCCCCCACAGCAGTTAATGCTATTGAACCCTTTTGCTTGCTTCCACCTCCAGTGGCTCTGTCTTGTTTCCTTTGCCGTAATATAAAGTCAATACCACAGACCCCAGCAAATGAAGGAGATTGCAAAAGTAGGCCGTGCAAAGCATGCTTGTCTCTCCAGCCGTTCCAATCTGTATTCATCAATCGTTTAGCTGCAGATTTCTCCACCGCTCCAGCCCGAGACTTCAGTCTCCTCAATCAAGCCGGACTGTTGGGCACGGCCAGCCTGACCTGGCCAGTGTTCCGTCTGTTTAGATTATCTCCTTGGAGTTCTTATCGGTGCTGTATAGCTCAGTCGAATGACTTCTCCATTAGCTAGTCTCTCTGAGTAGAGCTGGCAGAGCAGCCGTTGTGTTTGTTTATGGGTCTAGTTCAGATGGCCTGTTTGTTTGAGTTTGTGATTTTCAGGTGTTTGAACTGCTGCCTGCAGGAGTTCCTAGAGGCATTTCTGGCAATGCAGCTATCACCACACTTAATTCTTTGCTTCGTTGTCCATTTCAGTCTCAGTCCGTCTGCCATAAACAAACAAATCATGATCAGTGGACCTCTAGTAAAGTTGATTAAAATGCCCTTCCTTATTAACAACATACACAATGGATTAAGTGTATCTCCCTTAAAAAAAAAAGAGTCTTCTTCAGCTTGGACTGAGCATCACATGACCCAAACCAAATCGTTCTGGTCCTCCATAGCAACTACATGCCAGCAGCTCTTCAGAGAGGCTAGGAAGCGAACCTGTCATGCAGCAGCCCTCTCCACTCAAGGGATGAAAGCAAATAAAGTAGGAATCAAACCGTTACCATGTTTGTAGGGATGGACAGCGTTTTTAGTTCCAGAAAGCACCTGACTGAAAGCTGCCCTAGTTGAAGGGTTGGATGCAGGACACTTAACTCTCTTTCTATTGTTTTTCACCCCTCTGTCTCTCTGGCTTACTCTTTCTTTCCTTTTCCTTCAGTCAGAGCATGTGGGCTTCTAAAGCCTTGCCTGAGGGTTGAGTTTAGCAGGCTGGAAAATGCACTAATCCCTTTAGTCAGGACGTAATCCAGCCCCATTGAAGAGTGGAGCAAAGATACCACGCTGCTCTACACACATGGACAGATTCTGACACTCAACACAGCATTACATTGACATCATTCACGTTGAATAATGCGGACTGGAACCAAGTAGGACTCGATAAAAGGCATCAGAAAGATTAATAAATGAATGAAGTGAATGGGTGGCCACCAGGGAAACTGAAAAGACAGTGTAACATGAGTGCCATATTAAAACCTCATAATGTTTTTATGTCATTTGAAAATACCTGCTACCATAGTGCATTGTGTGACGTATTGATGAATAGAGATGGTCCATTACTACTATGGATGTTTTTTCCTTCTCCTGAAAAGTTGCTATCTCTCAAAAGAGATTTTGCTCTGACAGTGACAATAAGAGGAACAGGAATATGAGACGGGTGCTGTTGATTCTGATGAACAGATTCCCTTTGCTTTGTTGCAGTTCATTTTCACTTTGTCTCCAGCCAGGCTCAGGAGGGACTAGATAGACTAACATGACAACCTCAGGGAAGAACCACTCATCATAGTCGTTCAGATACACTTTGCACCTGAAATTGATATGGGATGAAGAGAGAGGGTGATGATTGATTCAGTCTAGACGGAGTTTACAGTTTTTTTTTGAAGAGGAGAGCAGGTATAGAATGGTGAGTACTGAGTGTAACACCTTCCATTTTGGTTCAGAATTTGAGGCTGATATGCAGCATATTGTGCTTCACAACATGCATTCTTTTCACTTCTATCTGTGACTGAGCGTCTTCATTGTTCTGCTAATAAGAGCAGGGTAATGTGGCGGTGACGTGTGTCATTTCACGGCCTGTCGGTGCTGTTTGACGTATGATAAAACAAAGCTGCCAGCCGCACATGCAGCTCGCCATGTAGCTTGTCAGCTTTATCTGTGTTTGCAATAGGAAGATGCATCAGGACTCAACCATGGTGTCCTCCAATGAATGTTTAAAAGCTACTGAAAGGATATGTGAAAGTACCCTTTTTGGAAAGCACCCCAACACTGTCAGAACAGCAGCTTTAGTTGTGGCAAAAAAAAGAAAAAACTGCAAGCATCACCACAGTCTTAACTTCATTGGGATTAAGTAGTGTTAGCGAGTTAGCCTTCTCTATCCATCCTATTTAAAATGAAAGCGCTATAGCTCTTATGAATTGACATGACACAGGGCTTGCTGTCCGCACTCAGGAATAAATGATGGTTTGATGGCTTTTATGCTTGGAAGGCTGCCACTGGGTTGGCCTCGATATGTTTCCCTTTCAAAGGGAGAGGCTTTTCATTGTGTTACTGTCTGGAAGACGGAGAAGCGTTGCAGCCATTAGTGGTGCTGCATGCAGACAAAACCTCATGAATTCATAAGCAAAAAAGAGGCTTGGTTTGTGCCTTAGTTGTTGGTTTTGAATCCTTAGACTGGATTTTCCCAAAAAATACAAGCGGTATCCAGGTCTAGGATCAGATTCCCCCTGCTCAGAGTCACTCGGTGCAGTGAAGAATGAAAAGTGTTGGGGGGGAGAATCCTTTTAAAGGGCCAAGGGGTTTGGAGCATATGTTTCCTGCAGGCTGCTCCAGTGTGCATCACCATATAAATGGCCTTGGGTAAAAGCACGCTTTTCTGAGTGTGATACACAGACCTCACTGTAGATTATGGCTTGTGCTGTGAACGACTTGCAATATGAGCTGACATGAGCACAGCATCGCTTATTCATGAGCCGTTTTGCGGCGTCGGCCGTTTGTCATGATAACTGTCATCTAGCCTCACCGTGAAAACGGCCACGGAATCATTTCACAAGAATTGACAGGTTTCTCCTCTCCACCGTGCAAGGTTTGATGCATTATTATCTGAAATCTTTATTTCTAATATTGTGTATGTTTCAAGATAATAAAAAGTAATGTAACGTGCCTTTGAGGAACACTAACAAGCTCAACATGTGGCAAATCACCCGGTCAGCAATGAAATGCTATTCTCCATTCACAGCTTGGGAGAAATAGACCTTGATTGATGAAACTGAATGTATTATATTTTGTGAGAAAATATTGAGAGTCTGGCACAAGTATGCTGTTTCAAATTCAATGGAAGTTAAGGGCTGGATTAAGGAAAAGTTGCAATTAGCCTGTGTTTTAAATTAAGTAAATGGAGCATGTCATCTAGGGTAAGCTATGTGAGGGTACATCTTAATCAGATATGTGCATTGTAATCATGAATAGATGTTAACCTGTCTAATGACTTTGTCACACCACAGCAATTCAAGGCCTTTGTTGGAAGCTCTTATTTAATGCATATTCATTAGCAAAAATCAGTTGAGATATAGATTAAAAAAAAAAATCCGATTTTTTGGATGGGATGCAGGGCTCTGTTTAAAAGCAATGAGCTCAAAAACTAAATCTTTATTTAGCATCTCTGTCATGGCCTATAAATTTACATTTCAGCCTTAGTTTGTACAATTCTGTAGGGCCGATGTCATTGAGGAGTTTATTTTACTCACTTTTTGAAATAAGAGTTTGATGTAATATGTGAACATTATTCAAGTTTCAAAATACCCATTAATTCCCCAGTTCATACGGTCAATTTATGGAAACTGAGCTGCAACAACAGATCGTTTTGAATTCATTGTTCAAGCCAACACAATTGTGCCTGTTTGCCCGTTCAGCCTACAGCAGTTTAGCCCCGCCCATTCACGCATAATACAAGGTAGCCTATCAGAACAGAGCTCATTTACATATATTAGACTTAAAGGCACAGTAACCAAAATAGCTTGTTTAATTAGAAATGGAAGTAGATTATGGCTCCTTTAACTTAGGTTGACTTTGTTTTTTTTATTTTTGCCAGTAAATCTTCCAAGGTTCAAGACAAAGTTCTCCAAAATCTCCTGAGAGAAATGACTAGACAAGAGTCTAAAAAAGTATTGTCCTTCACTGTATTGGGAGACATTCAGTCTCTGTATCTTGTTGTTCTGCCTTTGATTCTCAGAGAGGAGGACAGGCCTTGAACCTTCTGCTTACTTATTTCTGTGTAATGGAAGGATCAATCGGATGTGCTTGAGTGAAATTCCCTCTTTGTGTGTGTGTGGGCAAATGTAATAGCACACAGAATGAAAGTTTTACTGAAGTGGGGCCAGAAGGAGGCCTCAGCTGTTTTCTGGGGGTCCCATAGAGGCTCCAGCACTCTCTCAGAAGCACTTTGCTGTCCTCAGCTCATCGCTTCGTCTCATAGAGCGAGCTTTCAGAGCAAGTGAGCTCCGTAGCCGAACACAGACACCATCATTTACATCACCATCATCAAGCCCTCCAGATACGTCTGTATTGCTATGGGAACGGGGACAAAAGAACTATCAAATACGAACATATTCTTTTTTTTCTTTTTCTTTTTTTGGAACACTGTTCGCAGTCTGACTATAAGCAATAAGACGCTAATGCTTTTTCATTGGATTAGGCTTGTTGGCTGTTCATGCCATGAGACGACACCAGAGCATCTGGCACGCAGTTTCTTGTTTATTTAGAGGATGAAATGGAATTTAAATTTGAATTGCAACAGAATCGAATGTGAATTGAATTTGATTTGAGTCATATTAGATGTAGATGAAGAAAGACTCCTTCAGTGATGAGCTGACTCACAGGATTCTCTCTTTCCTTTTCTCTTTATCTCTCTCTCACTCACCAGACATGGGACTCGCTGTGCTGGAGAGGTGGCCGCTGCAGCAAACAATGGCGTCTGTGGAGTTGGTGTGGCTTACAATGCCAGAATTGGAGGTGAGCGCCAGGATGGAAAGTTTTCATTTGATGAGCTAATCTAATCAAGTAACTGTCTGGATACTACTGCCTTTGCACCAAAAGCTAATCCTGAAACATGACTCACTAGATCATAGTTATTGATTTGCCTGCAGCTTGTTTGTTCTAAATGCCCAGAGTTATGTTTAGAGTTACAAAACTGAATCATCATGTGGTTTATAAATATCCTGGGTAATAAGCGTCTCTCTGAGCTCCAGTCCCAGACGATGTGTGAAGCTGCTGTGACTTGAATGCCATGCCTTTTATTTTAATGGTGTCATGTTTGAGACATCTGTCAACTTTGTCTTTGATCTCTTGGTAGATGCAGCCCGGCTGAGGAGGAGAGCAGTGTTTGTGTGTGCATGTGTATGTGTGGCGAGGTGTTTGTCTGCCCTTGCGTCTGCATGTTTAATGGAAGAGAGAGAGCAGAAAGGCTACTATAATTGCAAGCTGCAATGTGATTGTGGGGAAAAAAGCAAGACATTGGGCATCTGAGTACATTACTGAATCACCATGTCTGGCACTATGGCAACTTATTTAGGCCCTGGCTCTATTCACTTCATGTTCTCTTCATTTACTGTGATTTTAATCACAGGGGTTACTGCCAGCTCACTCACACCAGCTGAGAGAAAGCTGTGTGGCCTTTTTCTCTGACATTCATTGATTCGTTCTCCGTTCTTCATCTCTGAATTGACATTCTCTATAGCGGTTGTTAACTCTTCTCTGTTGGCAGGTGTGCGTATGCTGGATGGCGAGGTAACAGATGTGGTGGAGGCTCAGTCTTTAAGCCTCAACTCGCAGCACATTCACATCTACAGTGCCAGCTGGGGTCCGGAGGATGATGGGAAGACAGTGGACGGCCCTGCCAAGCTTGCCAAGGAAGCTTTTCTGCAAGGGGTCACAGAGGTCAGTCTCAGGGCCCTTTAAGCGGATCTCTAATAAACTACGTATGTCCTTGCCTTTGTCCTCCCATTAGAGTCTCATGCATATCACAGACCAGAGTGAACGCTACAACGTTAAGCCGTTACGGCCTGTTTAAGCCCTTTGCCGCCAGGATAAGAGCATTCGAAAAAAAGCGTGTTGTCACAGTGCTCAGCAGGCTGTCAACTGGAGAAATAAAGAAGTATTTAGAGAGATTTCCCAGATCTTTGAGGATGGAAAAGTGTGCATTCTGAAGCTCTTTGTTTTTTTGGGGGTGTTTTTTCGTGATAATGTTGTTTTTTTCCCATGGCGCACACGCCTCCTCTCGTCATCTTGCACACTGCTGGAGCTTACACATGCACACGCCGCACAGTATGAGGTGGAAGTGAATGCCAGTGGCACATGTTTTGGATTCTTTATTTCTTTTTCTTCCCCTGCCATAATTCCTTCATTATTGTCTCTGTCTTTTTGCCTCTTCCCGCTTCTGTCTTCTACTCACTCAAACCTTTCCTGTCTTTTCCCACATGTTCTGTTAAGCTATTTAATGATGCTGTCTGTCGTTCTCTTTGTCAGGTCAGAGGCTGCTCTGGCTCTTTTTCAGTTCTCACAGAATAAGAAAAGTCCTTCTTCCATTTTTTTATTCTGTGACTTAAATTAGAATGACATTTGAGTGTTGATTCCACTTGCTGGTCTCTTTAATTTGCTCAATTATTTGTATAGAAGTGGAGGATTCGAAAAGGTAAAAGATACACACAGTGGCTTGCATTCCTCTCTTCATTGCTGATATGAGACGTGTTTGTTTGGACTGTAAGTCCACCACCAGCGTCTCCAGTCAAACATTGAAACCTATTCATAGTGAGTGACTGTGTGAAATTATCTGCATTGCCTTTGACAAGCGAATACTGTGTGACCTTTCCAAGCCTGCACCCTGCAGTCAGCCCTCCTTCGTTTCATTTGCTACATTCTAACTGTGCTACTCTTAATCCACATCCAGGCTTTCATTTCAGCATTACAAAAAGTCACTCTCAATCCTTTGTTTACTCTTGGTTTTCAAGGTAATACTGCTTGAATAGATGTTCTCTGCCCAGTACTCATAAACATTGTTACAATTACCATAATAATCTGCTCAGTCACAGTAACTGATGTTTCATTCCTACATCTTCTGGCCTAAAAACGACAAAGAGGTATTTCAGCCATTTCAACCCAGTCAACCTTGAATGTTGCTGAAACAAAGCAGATAATGGTAGTGAGAATTTAATCAAATATATTGTATGACTGCAGAGATAGATTTCTTACACTGTTCAAATTACTATGTGGAGGAAGATGAATTATTCATGTCCATGTTGGCCAATTTGTATGGATGTGTACTCCTTTGTGACATATTATGCAACACAATGTTTTCTTGTTGTATAGGGTCGAGGCGGCCTTGGATCTATCTTTGTGTGGGCGTCTGGTAATGGTGGCCGGGAGAAGGACAGCTGTAATTGTGATGGCTATACCAACAGCATCTACACACTGTCCATTAGCAGCACTACTCAGTATGGCAACGTGCCGTGGTACAGTGAGGCCTGTTCTTCTACACTCGCTACAACATACAGCAGCGGAAACCTCAATGAGAAACAGATTGTGAGTATCACACATACACGTGCTCTTATACCGAGATCATCAGTTTTGGTTCTGAAGAGCTGCAGTCCGGCACAGTTTGGCTAAAATATGACCCTGTTCACACTTGGCATTAACTTGCATCTTGGATGATCCAATCATAAGTGAACAGCACTAGGAGCAGGTGTGAACAAGGTCCATTGTGTCTTGGAGATGCATTGAGATCCAATTACTCACAGTGCATCTCCACCTTAGGAGGTGGCCAGGGATACATATGACCACATAACATTTGTAATGTGACCACTAAAGCATCCCCCTGTGCCACGAAGGACTGCCTGCATCAAGCAGCTCTGTATAGTTTTGGTCTCCTCTCCCATTTGTTTACAAGTTGTGGTAGCAATCTATCTGATCTAAACATTGGTAACAGCCTGTGCTTTTACATAAAAAAGGGCTCGTGAGACATTTACGTTTACATTTACATTTAAACATAGCGAGAGACTGACATAATAACTGTACACATTACCCCTTAGTCCAATCTTCGGGAATCACTGGAAAACATACATGAGGTGCTTGGGAAAGTAAGGTGTAAACAGCTCTTAATCTCACTGTCTACTTGTGATCAGATCACTTGAGAAAGTTCTACATAGTTTATTCAAGGTCAAAAAAAATAATTCAGAGTGGTTCAGTGTAAATTGGTTCACTGTAGAGAAATTTACTGGATTTCTTTATAATGGTGGTGATTGCAATGTCTACAACACAAATATTCTTTTTATTTACTATACAAAACTGCCAGTAACCTGCATGCATCTTCTGAGTTTTTATATGTAATGTTGATAATGATAATGTGGAAGTATATCTGTAAAAAAGTTTTCTTTGGGGACTATTTTGCTTCAGAATGCCCTGCATGTCACCTCTTTACCATGGATGTAGAAAAGTATATTTTAGCGCAAAACCGTCTCAGAATTATGCAGAAATTTTGAAAAATATGTGGAATTCCCCTTCAATGCCAACTATAAGCAGAGTCTTACAAGTACATACACATTAGGAGTTAATGGTTCACAAAATGCATAATTTGATTTGACACGATATTTCCAATATTTCCAGTGTTAATGTTTCTATGTTATTATAGTAGAGGATTTAACATTATAAAAGTATCTGTGACTTCAGAAAGGTACAGTGTTGTTTGGCCTGATCCATTCAGACTTTGTTTTTAGTCATAAGTTAACATGCTAGTCATCAACAATGATACAGTACTACATGTTACTATACTATACAATGTGTTGTGTTGTTACATGCCTAATACACATTCACCACTCTTGGACCACATCTGAGTTAAATTTATACAGAGACAAGTGCATTGCAGTGACTTGTATCTATGTTAATGTAAAATCACTAACTTGTGTATTTGATTCATGTGTCATATTGTGACCCCCTATGATGTGATACATATTGTATTATGAAATACCTGACAGTACCCCACACAAACAGGTCATATTAGATGACCCACACTAGAGTCCATTTCCTGGCTTATGCACAGTAATCCCACTTAATCTCATACATATAAATGAGCATAGTTAGGTTTAATTTGTGTACATAGTGCTCTTGAGGCCAAGTCTCTACTAGACAAAGGTTTGCTGGAATATGATTCTCCATGCAGTTTTGTTCATTGTGTGTGGCTGTCTCCCTTACTTGTTCACACTCATTCACATAAACATGCATACACACACCGGGCTGCCGCCAGGCTTCAATGAAGACCACAGAAACAGAATTAGAGTGGATTGAAAATAAATCACATGTGAAGTGTCTGACTATCAGTGGTTTACCTATTTACTCTACAGGCCACATGTTCTACACCTCTCACACACATGCAGACACACAAACACACACCTACATGCTCATTACTGCCTATTTCTAGGTGCACGTCTAAAGGGATGTGTATGAATGAGGAACAGATGCCAGCCTTCCGATGCGGTTACAATGAGTGTGGTTCTACGCAAGGAGGATGAGTAAACCTGTGGTGAAAAACCATGTGTGAGTCAAGGCTGGAGAAATGGCTCCCCCCGCCTGCATATTTTCACAGGCTATAGAGCAAAAAGTGGTGGAAATTTTAACAATTCGTGGCCTCAGGGGATTCAAAACACATCACATAGGGGGCTCAAAAATACCTTCAGACATACTTGAGGCACTGCACACTGAAAAAAATAATACAATGAATTTACAGAAATAAGTACATCTACGGATAGGAGAAAAACATCTGTACAGCCAAGCACCTCATATTTTGGATGAGAAAACAGAACTGATGCATGGAGGCTCAGGTGTCAGGTGTCTTTTTCATTTATTTATTAGCACTTTTAATGTGTAATAAGCCCACTGGTCAATTATTAGGACACCAAAATGCATTGTTGTCTTAACTCTTTCTTCTAAAAGCACAATTTGCAGTTCAAAGTAGTATTTCACAAAATGGATGGGCAGTATAGAATAAAAATAATATGATTAACAATACACGATAAGTATCCTGATACTAACCCATTTAAATCCCAGGCTTATTACATACTAAGGCATATTATTCAGTAAGTACAGAGGCTTCACTGCAAACTGGTTGAGCAATTTTTAGGTTATAAAATGTGTAATAAAACTTTGGGCCTGTCGGTGGGCCTTAAGGGATTAAGTTTTTCTTTAGTAACATGATACTGCATTGCATTAAATCAAATTACAAATAAATGATTATGCTCTCACTGTAGTCCAACATGCATGGTCAGTGTTCTAAAAGTACTGACAGTATCCATGATATGCTCAGAAAAAAAATATTGTGCCATACAGTCAACTCCAGAATTATTGGCATTCTTCATGACAATTAAGTAAAATCAGTATATTAAAAAAGCTATGCATGCTTTTCTTATTTGCTCAGATTTGACCATACAATTTTTTTTTTTCCATTTTACAAGGTGTTAATTTTGTCGTGGCTATATGAGTGGACAAAATAATCTTCATCAGAACGTATTTACTACCTTCAATAATTCAATCATTTTTTGAAAATCACAGTATTTCCATAGAGTAAACGTAGTTTCCAGTTTTCATCACCAGCGCCCAGTGAGAGCAACATTGGCACATCTCTTGCATCCTCTCGCTCTCGTACTGCTACGTTAAGTCTTGTTTTGAGGGGAAGGGTAATTTTCCAATTTGCTGTTGCTTTTGTTATGTTTAATGCCCTTTGATTGTTATCTCATGAGCACTGTCCAGCAGAGTCTGTCAAGTTAGTGATATTGCCAGCATCAGCCATGTGTTTTGCGTGTACATGATACTTGAGACTCGATGATGAACTTTGGTGAAAAATTCACAGTATGACAGTAGCAGGAAATAACTTTGGTTTTATCAATAAAGCCACCTGCCATTTAAAAGCTGTGTTTGAATGAGAGGACAGTCACAGAGTCATAGAAGCATACAGGGTGGAACTAAAGATGGTTCGAAGGGTCACATTAGGAAAATTTGTTAACAGCATTAAACCCTTAAAAAGCCAGGGCCCACCGGCAGGCCCAACATTTAATTACACACTTCTGTAACCTAAGAATAGTTCAACCAGTTTGCATTGGAGACACCTGAACTGACTAAATAAGAAGCCCTAATATGTAATAAGCCTGGGATTTTAAGGGGTTAAAAAATAAAGGAGTGAATCATATATGATGTTAATGTGTTATTAACACTTTGACAGCGCTATTTTCTACACAGTTTTGTTTGTTAAGTTTACTTTTAGTTTTCCTTGACAGTGATTTTGTTGATGTAATATATTAAATTAATGTGTTTATGTACACATTTGATGTTTATGTACACAGGCATGTCCCCATGTCACACCATCCAGATGGGTTAGGGAATGTGTATGTGTGTAAGAGACAATGAGAGAAGGGGAGAAAAAGACTGAGAGAAAGGGAAAGGAGAGGTGAAAGAAAGTCAGTGGGTGAATGTGTGTCTAAGAGAGAGACATTTGACAGGTGGAGTGCCATCTGCATAGTGTGCAGTGCAAGGTTTTACATAGCATGTATTTTTAGTATGCTGTTGTGCCTTTTTAGCAGAGCCTAACTGGCTTTAGCCATGCCACACAGACATGGATAATTTAGACACAGCCTTCAAAGCTAATTAAATCTTTTAAGCTCAAAGCACATTATGTTTTTTGTGAGTAACCTTCAGAGTTTCAACAATACTGTCTGATGAGACTCTTTTTAAACATTTCATGCTACTTGTTGGTGTGTGTGCTCGCCTTATTCTCCCTGCCTGTGGGGAATTAGCCTAATTCTGCCTGATTCGCCAGTAATTATATGTGCCAGTGAGAGTGATTGTGGATTCTGGAAGTGAGCTACTGCTCACTCTCTCACTCTCCTTTTCTTTCTCCCTCTCTTTCTCGTCTCTCTCTGTCTCACACTCGCCTCTTTTCACCGTGGCACAGGAGACGCAACTGATCGCAAACGGCTCTTTTGAAAATGCAGTGTGTCCCTGTGTGTGCCTTTGAAACCGATAGCAATTCTCTTTCTCTCTTTTGAGCCCTCTATTTCATTATAGTGACACAGGTAATGCTGATTTAGGCTGAAAATGTAGGCACTCTGACAAAACAGTTGGGCTTTTATTAGGTGTGAGCATGCAGACCTGGTTGTGTGTTGCGTGTGTGAATGCCTGCCTGTATGTTTATGAATACTAAGTATACAATACTGTGCAAATGTCAGAAACCGATTTCTAGTCAAAATGGCCATTGAGTACAAATAATTGTTTTGAGAGTTTTCTCTTTTTTTCCTTTTCTCATTAAAGGCTCTTTGACAGCTAAACATTCTTTTAGACTTATAGTGTTGTCGTCTTCTTACAGTGGAAGGATGAAGAGAAATACCTGTAGATCTCTTTGAACCTGAAGCAAGAGTGGAGATACATTTCCTCCTATCTCTTTAAGATGAAGGCTCTAAGTACTGTTTATCTGAGGGTGACAGGTTTGGTGGTCCACCAGGTCTTGAAAGGATGTTCAGAGTCCCATTTTCTAACTTTAACTTTTAATAATATTTTGAACTCTTTTCCACTTATGTTCCTTTGACTTTCCCCTTCCTTATGCAAGTGGATTGTCTAACATCTCAATCACCTGTGAAATATCCCAATGTGGCCATTTTGACTGGAAATGAAATAAACGAAAGGTGGCCTATTGACTTTTGCACAGTACAATATATGTGCATGTATGTGAGGTTCTGTTACAGGGATGTTTGAAAAAGACAGAATACCATATTGGGATTGTATTGCTTCATAACTGTGATATGCCTTGCAGTGTAGTAATAACACACTGGAGAACCCATGAAAATGTGGTTAACAATCAGCCTGCCTTATTTTGACCAAAATGATTTACAGTTGTTGGATCATGCGAATGTCATGATTCCTCCAAATTCCCAAAGAGCATCTTCAATTAGTCAAAATGCTCACAGCACACTACAAAACATTCAGGGCCAGATGTACATACGTGTGCAGGTGCAGCACAAAACATGCCTTGATGTGACTTCAGGATGCACCCATGATGTAGCTGAATTTAATGTTGTGTTTTCTAAGACTTTGCAGCTTATTATACAAACAGTGCATAGCCCCACCCACTAACTGCTTGCTGGTGAGGCAGAGGGCTTAAAAGGAGCAGTGAAATAATGGAGCTGTCAACACTGGAAACAAGAAAGGAAAGTTCAGTGATGAAGAGATAGAGGAATGAGATTCTTTAATGAAATTCTTTCCCACCAAAACATTTTACGAGGGTGTTATTTTAGTTTTTGAAAATATAAAATGGACGGCATGCACATATTGTGGCCATATTGCACTTTTCACATATATACATCTGGATCTGAGAGTTTAAACAGTGTTATTCTGATGGCGAAAATTCTTTCAGCACATGTTCAAGGCTCCTGCCTCCGTCTAATTGGTTTTAAAAGGTGGAGAAACATCCACACCAGCTGGTCACCATGATTTAGTCATACTTCAATAAATGGAGCGTATAATGGAACACACTTTCAATATCTCCACCCATTTTTTGCGTAGTTTTCCCAAGGTTCTGCTATACCCTCTCTCAAATGCATATGCATTAGGAAGACAGATTGCATCTGCAAAATGCTCGGTACATCAAGCTTAGTACATTGGTTAGAGACTCACTTGCATGTTGTAAATTCTTGTGATGTCAGTATCTTGAAGGACCGTATTGCTATACCAATTAGCAGGCAATATGTTGTGCAGCCCTACTGTGTTACTCCGCATTAGTCCTGATGATGACGTTGCCGGAGGGTAGACCATTTCTTATCCTAAACAGTGAAAGCCAGGCTGGTCCCCAGGTCTCAAAGGCCCTAATTAAACTTGGGCCCAGCCAGCCACTGTGATGAGAATGTCTTCTTATTAGTCTCCGGGGTGGCCATGACTCCGGCAGCAGTGTGTGTATGAGTGTGTGAGATTGAGTGAGGCCATCCCCCTGCTGCCAACGCTGTCATATCTGTCAGCCAGGCCAGCTCTCGCCTCCGGCGGTTCTCTGTTAACCATTCATTTCTGGATGTTTCTGATGGCTTTTTCATATCTGACCACTCACCTTTGTGTGTGTGTCCGTGTGTGTGTGTGTGTGTGTTTGAATAGGTGACAACAGATCTAAGGAAAAAGTGTACAGACTCGCACACCGGCACATCTGCCTCGGCCCCCCTGGCTGCCGGCATCATTGCTCTTGCCCTGGAAGCCAAGTGAGTGATGAGACCTTCCTACACACAGACATACACACCCTTTTCCTGTAGCTAAGTAATTAGGGCCCAATCAATGTAGAAATACCCATACTGGTGTTAAAGAAAGTTGTAAACATCAGCCATTTATACAGTCAAAAATTAATCAGACTCTAGTAGTTTTAGGTAACCACTTAAAAGGACAGGGCCCACTGGAGGGCCCAAAGTTTTGTTATACACTTCTATAACCTAAAAATAGCTCAGCCAGTTTGCATTGAAGTCCCTATAGTTACTAAATAATCAAATATGATCATTTCAATTTCTTAATTTCAAAACAACTCACTTAAATAATATAAATATTGTAATGTCTGGGCAAAGCTTGCCAGAATTCTATGCAAAATTCTTATCAGTTGGTTTTGTATTATTAAGCTGTTAGTTTTCAAATTTTTTAGCAGTTCAAGTTAAATTGTAGGTTTGAATGTATTCTACATGTTATTACCATGATGGTGTTTGTGTTCAAGTTCCCCGCTTTAGCCTGTGTTCTTGTAATAAAAATGGGTTGCAACTCCTGTTGGGCCTGTTGTCAGGAGATAGCTAGTTTATCTCCCAGCGATGCCACAGCCATCTGTGGATGGGGGTCCAAGAGAGTATAATTGGCCTTGCTCTCTCTGGGTGAGTCAGGCTTTCCTCCCTCTCTCCCCCATCGAGCGAACCAATGATGTTGCATTAGTAGTTCTGAAACATGCACGTGTCTTTGAGGAAGAACCTGCTAGCTTTCAACCTCCCAGCTTGGTATCCTTGTGTGATTTGGGGAGACTAGTGGGTGGAATTGGGTGGAATTAGAAATTGCAACATAGCAGTTTCTGTGAAGATGGGTATGAGAATGAGACAATTAAACCTTCATAAATGAGTGTTTCCTCACGTTAAGTGTTTGTTTATTAAAATGTAACAAGCAACGTCAAAGTAAGATCAGTGTTTTATTGGCGGGATTTTTGCTGATTCCAAAAAACACCTAAAACTTTGTCAAAGTCAAAGGAAAATAAGTGAAAAAACGGATTTCCAAAAATGGAGTTCAAAAAATTATTGAAAAAGGTAGAGAAAATGGGACGCTTAGCAACTGTGCAAGACATGGTAGACCACCAAAATTGTCATCATCAGATAAACAAGATATAAGAAAAACAAGCTCCACTCTTGCTTCAGATCTGAAAAAATCAGCAGATGTTTCTGTTTATCTGTGGAACATAAGGAATCAACTCAACGCTATGAGTCTGAAAGGATGTGTGGCTGTCAAGAAGCTGGAAATACACAAAAAAAGGCCATTTTCAAATCAAAGAAGCTGCTGCTGTTCTCAGAACAATAGACTGGTCACCTCACCATCATTGAATGTGTTTGGGATTACTTGGATCATAGGAGCAGAAAATGCAACCAATTTTCTAACACTGACCCTTGGAGGTGTGGACAGATACCCCTGCCGAAATTAAGTAAATAAATAAAGGGTGGTCTCTGACTTTTGTGCAGGATTGTACATACACACATGCACACACACAGTGACAATCATAAACACAGTGACACACAGCCATCACCTGTCTGCAACACCTTCTGTCACACACAGCTCCTGCCAGCCACCTCTTCACTCATTCCTCACTGTTGATTAACTAAAACACTTTATATCGCACACATACACATAAACACACACACACACACACATTTTGCATTAATGCGCACGTCACACATAACCTCTAGTCACACATCCATCACCTGTAACTCATATATTACACATCCTGATTTCACTCACTTCAATCACACACACACACATTCCCCTCATACCTCACACTCCACTTTTATAAAGCTGACACTCTGCTGACGTGTGCTTGACATTTGTCCTCCACTAAAGGAGACAGAGAGAGTTGAGAAGAAAGAATGGTGCTGGCTGCACCTGCCCATCTCCAGTCCAGCTGAATGAGGCATGCGTTTATGGCTCAGTGACCACATCACCTCCTCACGAGTCATCATACTCAATTATCAGCTCTCACTGAGCTGCATAATATTTTGCCCTTCCGCGTTGAAGAGTGGTAATAAGACAGTGAAATGTATTATGGTTCAGCAAGTTTCTCTCTCTCTCTCCCTCTCTCTCTCTCTCTCTCTCTCTCTTTTCCCCTCTGTCTCGATCATAGAGATAAGTGCGTGAGCGCACGTGTGAGGGAACAATATCGTTTAGAAGGCCGTGGATCATTGGCTGAAACACTCTGTTCAGACAGTGTGAAATGTGGACTTGTTCGCAGTATATGGAGGGAGGAGTGCATAGAGGGGAGCAGAAGGGAGCTCTTCTATTTTGGTCCCTGCCGTTCGGGGCAGTAAACCCCGCTGACGCATACTTTGATTGTATTCGCCTGAGGTGCCTTTGTGTTCGCTCCCTCTGTCTCCCCATAGGCTTCCATCACTTCGCTTTTTTCTCCCCATTAAATCAGGTGGAGCTCTTTATGGTGTTGCTGTTTAGCTGAAGGTGACTTCAAAGCCTGTTTATGTATATTTCTCTCTGTATGTGAGTAAGCCACAGGGCCTCTGGTGTTTCCCCTTCAGGGAGTCTTCTTGCCTGTATTACCACTTACCCAGTCATCTCTAGGTCATCCTCTGTACTATATTAAGCCCTGATTAAAAATTATGTCTATGACATTATGAATTTGTCCGCTGGGTCATTTATCAAAGGGCAAATAAAAATGTAGCTAGCTTGACCTTTCATAAATTACCCTGCTAGATTTATGAAAGTAGGAGCAAATACATGAGTTGGTCCACAAAAAAGTGTGCTTTTCAGTTTTCATACTCATTTACAGCAATAAATAAATATCAGTGCATGAATATATCGCTCCTTCAATGTTTGGCCACCTGTTCCAGTTAGATACGGCATGTCCTGAGCAGCACCACTGGACTTTTATGTGCCTCTGACAGAGCTGTCCACACCCTCAGGGCTGTGCATTCTGCTGTGCTGTGCAACAGCTGATCCAATCAATGGGCACACACTCTGAGCCAAAATTTTTAAAGTAGGAGGTGTAAGTGCTTTTTGATGATGCTGTCCCAATGAATGTATGCAGCTCTTTTTGCTAGCAATTTGGAGGTTAAGTGTTTGTTAATTATTTTAGTTTGTAAGGTTTCACAGCGCATGATATAGTTCATGCTGTTATGCGCTAATGTCCATAATAACACTATTATTATGTGCTCTGTGGGCTCTGTTATAAGGAATGTGACTATTGTCACAGGGTGATGAGCAAACCCATGGAACATTATTGTATAAAAACAGAATGAATTCTGTTTCATATGATAGTGTTCTTAATACAACAGTTAGTTCCGATGGCACAGTCTGATTGGTTGAGAAAGGGTTCTTCTCATTATTTGCGACAGCAGCATAGTTCTTCACAAAACCGGTATCATTCTGAGTACCAGTTGTTAAGTATTTCCTCACTTTACATTGCAGCATGCCATTACTAAGTTTGTGCTTCAGCACATACGAAGATTTAAAATGGACATCTTGGCTATTTTTTTATTCTTCACGTGGCCACTGTATCTCAAATATTTGGCTGGAAACTGAAGTGTCATTCATTACCATTTTAGTTAAGTGAAGGAAAGTGTACTTACTTGTTATCGTTTCATATCTTATTAAATGTCTCTGAGGTGTTTCTGGGACAACCTGCAGTTTGCGGTTGTCACTATTGCCAAGTCAAAACGGCAGTAACAGGAATGTTAGAAGTATAAATCTCTCAAAAAAATGAAACAGTGAGCAGGTCTACAAATCAAATTCCAAACAACTAAGTAAGGGAATTCAGCAAATATGATGGGCTGTGAAATGCTTTACAGACTGGCTGGAACTATAGGACATTCAGGTTAATCATGCAAGTATTGAAAAAGCTGAGGTAAACCTGATATTGCAACAGTTTTATGGTTCTGTCTCGCTACTACTTTTTGCTGGAGGAAATTGCCAATATTAAAGCACATTTGAAGCAATATTTGGGGCTTCTTTGCTTTACTTTTTCTTTTTATTTTGTAGAACTGTTGTACAAAGGCAGTAGAACACTATTCTTTAAATAAAGAGTATCGAAATCCAATACTGTTATGGTACTGACTGAATTATCACTAACACTACAGAATTAACATACACTACAATTAACACTACAGAATCTTTAACCATCCAATCACATTCAATACTAAATTTCAGTACCTGAATAGTCTGTCTTATCAGCATCTGTGAACCAATAATCATGCATAATCTAGACAGTTGAATGGATGTCTAAATTACATTTACATGCATGTTACAAATTACATGCATGTAATTAACTTCCAAGCTCATGTTTAGTCCATTGTAGTCTGTAAATATACTCACTATCAGCACCTCTCACTCATTTCTGGTTTAAGCCACACTCACTTTTGTTTGTAATCTAAAAGAAGGTATCATAAAAAAGTAGTGTTCAGCAATCAGTATCAAAGTCAAGTTATTAATATATCTGATATAAAAAAATTTTGACTGATTCCCTAGCAGGGAACAGTGAGTATGAAGATATTTCAAACACAGCGTTTTTTCTCTTTTTCTCTCTTTTTTTTTACAGTATGAATCTGACCTGGAGGGACATGCAGCACCTGGTGGTTAGAACCGCACATCCCGCCCATCTCATCACAAACGACTGGAGGACCAATGGCGTGGGACGCTTAGGTAACAAGCAGATCCCAGCTGGAAACTGGTAACACCTGCATTGGATCAGTGCACTCATCTGACCTCACCTCACCTCACCCTCTCTCTCTCTCTCTCTCTCTCTCTCTCTCTCTCTCTCTCTCTCTCTCTCTCTCTTTCTCTCTCTCTCTCTCCCCCTCTCTCTCCCCCTCTCTCTCTCCCCCTCTCTCTCTCCCCCTCTCTCTCTCCCCCTCTCTCTCTTTTCCTGGCAGTGAGCCACTCCTATGGCTATGGTCTGCTGGATGCGAGTGCGATGGTGGCGCTGGCCCGGAACTGGAGCAGCGTGGGGCTGCAGCACAAATGTGTTATCGACATGCTGACGGAGCCCAGGTAAGAAAGGTCAAAACAGCCACGCAGCTCGCCTAACCCAGCGCCAGCTGCCTGTGGATCTGGCACTGCAGAATAGGTCAGCTTCAAGAACTTTGAGAAATACTTTGTCCTTGTAGCTCCAGTATGACACAAACAACCTTAAAATAACCCAGCAGTGGGTTATATATTTTCTGAGAGTTTTTTGGCTTAAGGCTAGCCTCAATTTCCTGGCAATGGCACTGCCCTTACTCATAGATCCTCCAAAGTGGGTTATGTCAGTGTTGTCCATTTCCGCTTCTGCAGAAGCCTTGCGCTGCTTGTTTTTTTTTGTGCTCTCTCTGCTCTAACACACTCGTTTTAACCTCATTGAAAGGCTTGTTAATTAGCTGATGAGTTGGCTCAGGTGTGTCGGGAACAACAAGAACACTAATGTGCAGTGCAGCAGTGCTCCAGGAACAGGAGTGTCACCACATCATCTAGTTATGCTGTCCTCGACAGATTGACAACTGCATGCTCATTACTGCTCAACTGATGGATCATCATTTGAGTATATTAATGTTATTGCTCGGTGTTTTCCTACTTAAGAGTTCCCGGGCTAGTGCTAACTGACTGACTAAATGACATTTTTATTTTCTAGACCTTATTCTGATGTGGCTAGTTAGGAGCCTCCTGCCCTTCACCAAACTATTACAGGTGTTGATCCAGGTGCTAAAATGCAATGGGTAGATATAAAACTGTAATCAAACATTAAAAGCTAGGTGGAAACACCTGCAAACAATCTGCAAACAAGAGACAGTGAACCTCTATTATGTTCTATGGACTACACTATCCCATCTTTGGAGCTAGAGCTCATAATAGCTGTTGTCATTATATAAATTATTATGCAAATTTAATTTCTATATGTAATTGACTTGCTAGCTGCACTTTGTTCCAAAAACAAAAAAGGTCCAAGACAAACAAACCACTTTACAAAGAAGGTAAGGCAGTCTGACTGGGATTTCAGTTTTCAGAAGTCTATTCCACATCAATGTATCAGAACCATTATTTCAGGCAGTTTTCGCAGTAAATCCAGCATGAGCCAGCTGATTTCAGTTTTAGCCTTTAGTCTAAAATGTTTTGAACTGTCTTCAAACATATTGAAATTATGGACCCAACCTACAGTGAGCACATTGTGTTCAGCCATCAGTACAGAATGTTTTTTTTTTTTTTTTGAGTCCACACTATCCAACTCCATCTGCCCACAGAGCACGGTCTATTCAACCATTCTGTTTTGTGAATCATGCTTTGTAGTTGACATTTAGTGCAGCCTACTTACTTATTATGCTTTTATAATTTGAGGCTCAGTACTGAAAAACATTTGGAGAATATGTTGGTGTGAGCTGCTCTTTTTCTATTGTAGGGAAGTGAGGAATCACCTGTTGTTCAGTAAGAGTGTGGAAGCATGTTCAGGACAGCCGGATTTTGTGAGTTCTCTGGAGCATGTGCAGGCCAGACTCACTCTGTCCTACAGCCACAGAGGAAACTTGGCCATCCACCTCATCAGCCCACTGGGGACCCGCTCCACACTGCTGGCACCAAGGTGAAAACACATACACATACACACACACACACACACACAGCATGGGCGCACACACACACCCGCTCTAATAATACTGCACTTAAAATCTTAAAATACTAACATTGGAGATTTGTATTCAGTCATATTCAAATCCTCTTTGATTACTCCTCCAGAAGAATGGACATATTCAGATATACACTGTCCAAAATATTTGGCCTGTTTTTGGAATGTGAATTTTCTTGCTCTTACTCTTCAACTAAGTAAAAAAATTAAATCTGCAAAGGTTAGAGTCGTGATTGAGGTACAGTACTGTCAGGGACTCCCCATTATTTATTTAATATTCAGTCAAAACAGCCATTATTGAGTGCCAGAAAAAAGATATTTAATGACAGCTTCAGTTCTTTCCAGCCAGGAGACTTCCTATCAGTTTTTCAAAGAAATCTGAAGGGATATTTCTCCATGCTTAGTTGGTTACATTTTCTGCTTTTCTCAACCCAAGTAATCTCTATCAAGTTTATACTTATCAGTCCATACAACCTTACTCCACATCTTGCATTTCCAGTTTCAGTGTTCCAGTGCAGATGTTCTTATTTTTGTTCTATTTCCTCTGTTCAGTTATGGCTTCTTGACAGTTACACATCCTTTCAGACTCATAGTGTTGAGCTGTCTTCTCACAGTGGAAGGATGGACTTTTGGATTTTTTTTTTTAGATCTGTTTCTCTAGTGGTGACAGTTTTGGTGGTCTTCCAGGTCTTGCATGGTTGTTAGGAGTCCCGTTTTCTCTAAACCTTTCAATAATTTTTGATCTCTGGTTTCAGAAGCTCCTGTTTTTTATTTGTTTTCCTCTGACTTTTCCACTTATGCAAGTGGATTGTGTTGTACATAATCTCAGAAATAGTTCCTTTAGCCATTTTAGATGGACATGAGAAAGAAATGTGTGAGGCAGCTGAGGTGAGTTTGGGTAGTTGTTTGTGTGAATGTTAGAGTCTCATTAAAGGGGAACATAATGTCAGTGCAAGCTTTGGGAACTTTTTGGGAGCTTTTTTTTTGGGAGGACACAGCTGCAACTGATTGGTTTTAAGATTGGAAGGATGGCAGTTAGAGTGGCAATAGAGGCCACAAGATTGGAAAGAGTTAAATTAATAACTGACAGATTTAATACTATAATCAGTGTTGGAGGCTTTTGTGTAATTCCCTGTTAAATATTTGTTTCCTGCTTTTCTCTGACACTGAAAAGTGTATAACTTGTACTTCAGGCCGTTTTGACTGGAATTTGAATAAATGAATGGGTGGTCCCTGACTTTTGCACAGTACTGTATATTATTAAGTTCCTATGGCTACCCATAAATCATGCCTGTAAAATTGCATACATAGCAATATAAAAGGTCTAATGGAGATGGTTACCCTGGCTACACTACCAGGAGGTTCTGAATAAGAGCACTGCATCAACTATCTTAGTTCCAAGATGTTTTCATTGCACTGAGCCACCTCTGCTATTGTGTTTGACTCAGGCCACAGGACAACTCTGCAGAGGGTTTCAATGACTGGGCATTCATGACCACACATGCATGGGACGAGGACCCTCGAGGAGAGTGGACCCTGGAAATAGAGAACGTGGCCGGGCTTAATGACTATGGTAACAGATATTAGCAATCTTCCAGGTTTCAGAAATGGAAAAGTCTCGGACAAAACATTTGATTAGACAGAAGTAATTGTGAAAGACTGACATGTTCTGAGTCCTCTGGCTGAGGCTCCTCGCTAAATAACATAAATTTAGACTAACACCATTTCTCTCTCTTTTTGTCTCTCTGCTGCTCCCTCTCACACTCTCTCTATCACACCGTCTCTCCCTTTCACGCCCCAAGGTGTTCTTTCTCAGTTCACACTCATCCTATATGGAACAGGCTCCAGCTCTGCAGACCTGTCTGCCTCTGACTTCAGTAGGCCGTCCAACAACAGTTGCAAAACCTTTGATGCTCAACAGATCTGCATTGGTGAGAAGATACTGATGCGCACACACACTAATCCCTGGGTTGTGTCATGATAATTCGCTCTTTTATCAGCTCAGCATGACTCTTTGCCGTTATGAATGCGCATTTGTCTTTATGAATATTAACACAAGAACACTATAGTGGGAGCCGCTGCAAAAAGGGATTGAATTAGTGCAAATTGCATTGAAAGGAAAATAACTTTTGAAGTGTTCTTTCTTTTCTCATTTTTATGTAGAAGGCTTTCTTAGTTGCTTCCTCCTGAGACAAATAAGTGTCAGTGAGTGACTGACTGTCCCTCTTTTACTGTTAGGGTACAAAAATTAATAGATAATACTGACAAAAATGTATAGAAATTACAATGGTCACAAATGCAGCAGTTGTATAATACAGTCATGTGCAAACGGTATAACTTATCCAAGGTAACATCTCTGAGTGAACCACTGAAGTGTGGTTCTAATTTTGTCTCCACTGTTCTTGTTCCATGTAAGTGCTTTAAGTGCAGATAAGTGCCTTTCCTGGACACGTTTTACTACAGTAACAGGGAGCGATACTGACTGCTGGAGCATAAGCGAAGCTGTTTTAATGTTCGCGTTTTAACGTTCAGGCAATGCAGTCAGTCTGGTTGTTTTTTCCTTTCTGTCCTCTACTCACTCATGCTGTAAGAGGTTGAAATGTGGGGAAATTGGTAGGTGATGTTATGATCGAATGTTTGGCCCCTATTCCCATTCTGAGTTATTCAATGTAAAGTATGTGTTTGTACAGAGTCCCAATCTGATTTTAGTATTTTTGTAGATATTACAGCCATACACCATAAAGTTCATGAAGCTAGTAAATCCAAAGCAATTCAGGTGAAATATACTACACTGCCAGTTACTTAAAAATGCTGCAGTAAAACCAACGATGGGGAGTACTTTCGTTTCTCCAGTTGCTCTAATGTGCAAAGTATCTTGCTCAGTTCTCTTAGCATTCACCTTTTACCTTGTACAGTCGAATGTGTCTGGCTGACCCTGGTAAAATGATGTTTTGTTGGTGATCTAAGTGAAAATAAGTACACATTCTCTCATTTTAATGTACAATAAATGTTTATTTGCTGAATTTAACATATTGGAAAAACAACTTGTAAAATGTACCGTAACTTTTGCACAGGCCACATTTGATGTTTCTTTTCCCCCAATATGTTAAATTCAGCAAATAAGTAAAATTGTGGACTAAAATTAGTTTGTTGTTTTATGTTGTGTTAGCTTATTTTCAGTTTGAAAACAAAATAAAAACGTGTATTTTGGCCAGGGTGTTCAAACTTTGTGTATGACTATAGCTAATTTAACTGTGTTTTCATTTTTAACTTGAAAGTAGTTCTATACTGCAGATGTTTAAAGTGCTTGTTGAGCTCTGAAAACGTGCTTCACTGCCACAAATTGTGAATCATGTTTGTTTATATCACCTCTATGACAGTGGATTATATAGAGCATAATGGGGTAAAACAGCCTTAACAAGGATTTGGCCTACTATAGCCAATGCTGATCCATTATATATATATAAAAAATGGATCAGCTTTGGCTATTAGTTTCATAGTGGCTACCATGTAATTCATGGTACTTACTGAATAACAAGCCTTAAGATTAACTGTTTCAGGGGATAAAATGTCTTGTTTGACTCTGACATTGGCATTTAATGAAAAACTAATGTCTGCTTGAGGTGGATGTGGTTTTCATGAGGTGGATGTGGTTTTCATAAAAACCCTCCTTTTTTTTGTGTTGTTTTGCAGAGTGCAGCACTGGATCTTCACTCTTTTTGCAGGGCTGTGTGAAAACGTGTCCTCCGGGCTTCACGTCGGGTCTGCAGCTGCTCAATCTGTCGCTGGAGAACTGGGTGGAGCAGTCATCCGTTCAGGCCTGCCTGCCCTGCCACCCGGCCTGCCTCACCTGCTCCGGCCCAGGGGAGGCAGAATGTCTGTCCTGTCCCTCTCACAGCCACCTGGTGGCCACATCCTGCCTGCGTCAGAACCAGGTGCAGCGCAAGTCTCCCGTCGGACCCACGCAAAATGTCCAAAGAGGGGATGGGTCAGACTCAGATCCAGACTTGGACTCAGATGGGCCCTCACCCCAAAAAGGACTGTCCTCGCATTTGCCTGTGCTGGTGGCAGTGCTCAGCTGTGCCTTCATCCTGGCCACGTTCGCGGCTGTTTTCGTGCTGCTGCAGCTGCACTCTGGTGCGGCCAGCGCCCCCTTCTACCGGAGGACCAAACTGCCCGTCACAGACTCCAGCGGCCGAGGCATGCGAGTGGCCTTCGGTTTTGGCTTGAACCGCGACTGGACAAGCAGTAGAGTGTCCTACCGCGGGATCCCCACCGTGTGGGGGGATGAGGACACTGCAGGTGGAATGAATTCAGAATCGGACAGTGAGGAACTGGACTGCCATAGCGAGAAGACTGCTTTTATACGGACACAAAGCGCCCTCTAGCACCACCTACCTTTTCACACTTCTCCGTCTTCCTCTGGCAGGGCGAGCAAGCTGGTCTAGTCAGTTCTTTCTCTCTGCCGTCCTGCCATGTCCTGGACTGCTCTGAGAAGAGCTGAGAAGTAAAGGCACGCAGCCGTGTGCCTGTTCATAAGCTGTAGAGTAAGATATTCAGGTGAGGCAGCTGTTCAGCAGAGACACAGATGTTTGACTTGAATCTCTGATGAATCTCAGCGGGACAGGCCGGCGGTGCAGTGTTGAAATTTCCCTTTATTTTCACTTTAAATTCTCTTAGAGGTTTGAGTCATGAGGTTTAAACAGCGAAAAAAGGATCAGCGTGCGTGTGTATGAATGCTGATGTTTCCTTTAGAGCTAAAAAGGGCTGAATTTACTCCAGTCCATCTTTTACCATCAGTGTACTGGACTGGATTTATGCACAACACTTGGAAGAGTGAGGTGGCCATTGCAGTAAGTCCATACATTTGCATTGTTTTATTAGCAGCCACTGAAGCATTATATACCTAGAGCTAATAACCAGTAACTGGTCTCAGAGTCTCTGCCTCGTTCGCTGCCTGTCTGTGCTGGTCTTGCTACATTACTATACTTGTGGCAGTTATAGCCAGTTATAGGAGTTCTCAGTAATAGACAGCACATTATTTCAGAAGATTGCCTTGTTCAGTGTCAAAACAATGGAGGCGGTCTGCAGAAGGCCTTACATATGACTTCAGAATCGGATCCAAATTTTGAAACACTTTCTCATGTGTTGATTGTCTGCTTAAAATATTCAGCCCCCTGGGTGTTAAAGAGTTGGATTTGATTGTAACAGACAGACTCGGACTCAAATCATAAGGTACCTTGCTAAAATCAGGCTGTAAACTGGATTACAGTTTGTGAAGTGGAACATATGTTGGAGTTGATCTATTTCCTCACTAGCTTCAATCTGCAGTTCACAAACCACAAATAGAAAAGGTATAAACCCAATAATTATCAAAGGCACTAAGCTGTGTGCAGTTTACTAGACGTGCTGGCGTTATACCTATATATTATTCACACCTTAGACTCAGTGTCTGAAATCCCTAAACTGAAAGTCTAGCTTTTTGCAAAATTCACAAACCACGATCCACAACTAATACATTATATATATATATATATATATATATATATATATATATATATATATATATATATATATATATATATATGCTGGGTTTGGCTCAACCTTAAGCATGAGACTTAGTTTGACCAAATCAATCTTGAAGAAAACCTGCTGGGAGCTGAACAAACTTTTATGAGCATTTACCTTTTTTCTTCTGATGGACAAAGTAATTTTCTTTACCCCAAAGGAAGCATTATTGATTTTGAGGTTTGATGCACTAAAACCTGTCAGAACCGGTGCGGTAAGGAGCTCAAGACAGTGTTTGGCATTTGTTTTCTGGAAGGTCAGTCTGAACTCTGTGAAACAGCACCTCTGTTGGGGTTTCACAGGGTTTTAACGCTTTAAAACTACAAAGTCTGTGATGGAAATGATGTTCATGTATGCCACAAATAAGACTTCTGTTACAGGAATAGGAGGTATGAAGAGCAAAGATTTTCACTGAACTGTCTTTGAGTCGCTTTTTCTAGTATTTATCATTTTTATTTAATAGACTCTAATTATGGTCATTAAATTAATTGCAGAAGTCCAGTGTTTGTGTTTTATTCAAAGCTTTGTCTCATCTTGTAAACAGTTGTAATTCTGAATAACAGCATCTGTCTCTATCACTGCCAGCAGTAATCAGCAGTTTTCTGAGTCCAGGCCATTCTGCGACAACTCATTTGCGACTAGCAATTCATTTGAAATTAGCGTGCTTTTGGCTTTATAGAAGTAGGGCTGCTCGAACACATGCAGTACAGCTCACTAGGCCAGAAAAAGAAAAAACCACCAAGCCTCCAGAGGTTATATGCATTATTTATACCTGGACACGCACATAGTTAAACATGCAGACTGATGACTAAACCTTTAAACCTTTTTGTAATTCATCTGCAGCTAGGGGCTCAAGTTTAAACTGATAGCTTCATAGGTTTTCTCCTCCATGTAGGCCATATGTAGTGGGAGAACAATACTACATATTTATATGACTGACAAATCTCTTGACTTCTCAGCGACTGATGAGTCTCCCCTCCCTAAAGCGTAGACAGATCTAGTTTATGGAAATAGTCCATTTAAAATGCTTTCCATAATTAGCTCAGCTGGGAGAGAGGGGCAACTCTAATTCACGCCTGAAGCAAGTGCATGCCTGGCATTCTAACTCGGACTGGGACTCAGGCATTCATGTGCTATTAGAGGGCAGAGGAGACGTAGAGGGTTCCTTACTCACCCAGAGATAGAAGTCATGTTCACTATTCATCATTAAAGCTCTCTTACAGAGGAATGGTGAAAAATACATACATCTGCCCTTCCACATATTTCTCTCCTGCTAATTTGAGCCGAGACAGCTGAGAGCTTGTTAAAGGTTCCAGTAGAGTTAGTGTGGTTCAGCTGCTGTAGCGCTTCTACAGTTGCCAATTTGTCATGTTGTGCCATATTTAAGCCATTTGTTGCAAGCCTTACTAAATACACCTGATCATTCCCTCCAGATGTTCTCTCCAATCTCAAATTAATTGCAATAGTCCTGCGCTGGCAGGTGTGGTAGCCTGCATACCAACTTCTCTTGAATGATGAAGCGTTACTGTGAAACAACCTTGAGTTCAGCCTCGAGTCCCGTGGCAGAGATGCTCAATGTGTGAATTAAGCAGACCCGCCCCAAAAAAAAACCCACAGAACTTGTACCTCCAAAATATTAACTTTAAAGAAGAAATCCATTCTTTAATATAATGAGATTTTATTCCAAGTCACTTTGGGCCAACTTTATTGATCCATTCATCATGAAAAGTTAACAAAATGTATAGGACAGATGGTGTTAAAAATAAAAAGATAAATGGAGGGGGAAAAAAGAAAAAGAAAAAAAAAAAGGTAGGGGGTTTAGATGTGACTAACAATACATCTCTCTGTATTGAAGAGCTCCTCGGTACCTCAGCTAATGCTTGTCCCCTGAACAGACAAACTTCTCCTCCATGACTCCATAGTGTACCTGATCTGCACGCTTTTCTTCTTTCATCAGATCCCCAGACGCAAGACTGCATTTTGAATCAACGCTCTGCATCTCTCTGCCTCTGTTCTGACAGGCAGACTGATTGAGAATGGGGGGGGGGCGCTCACTCACATGCCTTCTGTGCTCTGAGACAGCTTCAGAATCAGCATTCCTCACCTAAAATGCTAACCTCAACCACTAAACAAAGCTTCTAAATTGGTGTCAGATCAGAGTACAGGCAGTTTCTACCATACTCCTATGAGCGAGTGAATGAAGAGAGTGGGCCAGTCTTGCATGGAGCTAGCAGCTCAGCAGGGATCAGAGCTTTCTCGCTCTTTCCCAAGACTCAGGGCCTCTTGCTGCGGGGGGCACAGGCTGAGACATCAGACAGGATCTGCAGTTGTTGTGATGGTTCTTGGGATGTGGGTGGTAGATAAAAAGGGAAGTATCACTAGAAGACCTCCGCTCGGTTTCAAATCACACTGCTATACAGAAGACGACCCCCTACTGCCCCCTGCCTATGCACTTAGGAAAAGCATCAGAAAAGTCTTCTGGCATACGAACAGGCACAGACACGCCTGTGGTGATGTCTCAAATTTTTCAGAGAAGAATATATTCTCTCTTACTTACTTTGTATTCAACTTGGACATGTGTAGACTATAGCAGAGAAACAGACAGGCAAAAATGACATCAACTTATGTCCATGGCTGACGTTTATTAAATGTCAACTTTAGCTGTTTTGTATTTTCACTTCTTTTTATGCATCATTTTTTCCCTCCATTAGCACACATCCAGAAGGGAATAAAGACAGCAAGGGAAAAAATATATCTTCATCTCAAACAAAACATAAAAACCCTATCTTTTTGTTCACATCATATTACACAAATGAGAAACGGCTACAAATGACTTGTCCAAACAGCTCTAGGGCAAGTATACATGGTCTGAGGGCAAAGCAGGCCAGGAGGAGCGGCATGGCTGTGAGATACAAGAGGTAAACAGACAAAGTGTAAGCGGAAGGGCAAAATAGCTTAAGGAAGAGGCTATTCTAGATCAGACAAAAGAAAAAAGAAAGAAAACAATCAGATAAGTGCCAGCCTCCAAAAAAAAAATCCAACCTTTTTTCACCTCAACTACAAACGTTGCAGCTTAGGCAAGCAGGAAAGCAAGACAAGCTTGATAAATGTTTTATGCTGTTTTAGCAACTTCATTTGCTGAGTGATTATCAAGGACTAAAGCTCTCTAGGAGAGATGGCACCTAATTCTGACTTTAATTCTGACTTCTCCTTGGTTTTGCACTTTTAGCACACACTGACCTGGTCAGTTAACAGTGGAGATGTGCAGGGTTTGAAAAAGGAATGTAGTAGTAGCAGAGTTTCTGTAGCTCAGACATAACCAGCAGTGACAACTCACTCCCAGAGGTTTCACGAGTGCCTCTGACCCCTGCTCCAACAGCAGCACATTTGGAGAAATGGTGAGAGCGTTCCGTTTTCACAGTAATTCATAAGTTTGAGGCTAAGCTCTACACAGGTAAGCTATTTTAAGCTGAGCAGTGCACAGAGGTCAGCGGCACAGTTAGCAAGTAAAACTGGAGACAGCATCATGGTTTAACAGACATCTTCCTCCTGGCAGAATGTAATGCATTTACACTGAATGGCAGTGGTAAGTATTGAGTGGATGACTGCATCCAGACAAAGAGAGACACTATGAATAGACATTATGATGGACACCACTGGAATGGAATTGTACAATGCATCTGCTGTGGCTCCTCAGAACACTGCAATTAGTGTCAGCATCCACTGATCTCTATACACACAGGGATATGAGGTGAGCCTTCCAGATCTTCACACTATGTACAAGACGGAAAGCAGGGGTCTGTCTCATGAAGCAGGATTTGTCGTTTAGCCAGCTAAGTTTAGCTTGATCCAACCCTGGATTTTCTGTCTCATGACAGTGGAAAACTGAACTGGGCTACACCCCCATGGCAATTTATCCTGCACACAAAACCTGCTCCAGGGCAGGCTAACTTCAGGATTTTGGATCGTAAACAGCTCTTGGACTAATCAGGGACTGATGGGGGTGAACCCCTCTGGTCACTTTTTTCCTTCACATGGTTTGAGGCATGAATTATGTGAAGACGACAGCAGAGGAAGCAAATCACACTGCATATATTAAGAATATAAGCCATTCTTGCTCCAATAAGCTCTAACATGGTGGAAATGACAACAGTGTTGCTTTTTTACTGTTATAAATGCTTTACTTTCTATATATTTACGTAGATTTCCTCGTCCTTCTTTGAAAAACAAGCTGCTTGACTCCTCATGTTCCACATGACTGGCTGTTTGTCCGAAACGTCACGCTTTCATGTGCATAAACCACAGTTAACAGAAAGTTGTTAAGAGAGAATTCTACTGATTTTCCACAATTTTCCACATAATTAGTTGAGATGTAGACAAAGTTGTTTGATGTGAAACGTTCAGCTCTAGAGAAACACAACACCCCTAAAAGCTACCTTGCAGAAAGTTATTACATAAAATGGTAATGAATATGTTGCCTGATGCCCAAGACATTCTTTTTTTTCCCCAAAAAGTTTTACAAGAAAGTTTTGTCCTAAAATGTATTTTTAAAAAGCATTCACAATTCATAGTGGAGAGGTACATGCAGGGTGTTGTAAGGCAAAATATTCCTCAAAGAAAACTTTTCTTTTTTTCCTGTCAGATGTACCACCACTTTACTATCAGAATTAAATATAAAAACTCCGAGTATACATGTAGGGTAAATAAAATGATTATATTTGCAGTCTAGATATTGTGACCCCCCAGTTCCTATCACCACCATTATGAAGAAATCGTAAGTCAGTCAGCAAGTTTTTCCACAGTGAACCATTTTACATCAAACCACTCTGAATGACACCCCCCCCCCAATTGTGACTGAATTATTCTGAAACCTGGGAAAATTAGTGAATTCCCCTTTAACCGCTTTTGTGAAACAAGTTAACCGTAGTCTCATTTATTAGGTTTTGTGAAGCTAACTTAAGTTGGACTTGCTTCGAGGGACAGGCCCCAGTACACCAGACATATATTCTGCCCTCATTACCTCTCCACTGTGCCATCCATAAATCATATCAGTCCCCACTGTTCCTTTAGCATTATATTGCACATTTCAAAGTTTTATGTAGAATATAGGAGGTATCATTTTCTACTGCATGGGTATCAACCTCCAGTCCCGGAGGGCAACAGCACTAAAGAGTTCAGTATTCTGCCTCATTCAAACACTTGATTCAACTCATCAGCTAGGCTACAAATAAAATGCCTTCATTAGTTGAATTCAGAGTGTCAGAAAAGGGTAAATACTTGTTTCTGAAGGGCTGCTGGCCTCCAGGTCTTGAGTTTGAGACCCCTGATCTACTGCATACTTTGTGCTACACCATCCTTAGCACTACAGGCCAGGAAATGCAGATAATCCATCACTAGCTACTTTGGAGGGACCAGCATTTTTCAGGAACAAAAAAGGGCCAACAGTGAAAGACAAACCCGGTGAAAAGGGAAGGGAAAGTTCTGCCAACCACTACACTCATCCCACATAATCAGATAAAGAGAACCCAAGATAAGAAGAACCCAACCAGGCCCAACCACTGACTGACTGTTGAGTGGGAGCAAGACGTTCTGTAGGGCAAGTCCCTAGACGGACATTAGACGACAGTAACAGTCTTCACTCAGCTGCCAAAATGAGTGAGCGAGCACACATTCACAGGAACATGCAGCTATGGCAAGCAGCACAGTCCACTGAAGTACAAAAAAGGACAAAAAAAGAGAAAAGAGGTTGGAGCTCAGAGGACAGCGACACAGTTCCAAGCACAGCTTCTGTGGAATGGAGTCAAAATAAAACCATAAGCCCCAAAAGCAGCTTCACATATTGCACTCGGTCCCACTAGTTTGTGAAGAGCCAATGACATATTTACATACAGTACAGAGTCCCCAGAATTTCAACAAGAGCAAGATACAGAAAAAAAGCATAGAGGGGGGGAGAGAGAGAGCGAGAGAGCGAGAGAGAGAGAGAGAGAGAGAGAGAGAGAAACAGAGAAGGAAATACATGTCAGTGGTTCCAGCCAGGACGACAAATAAAAATAACAAGTCTTAAATGATCATCAATCACCCATGTCTAATAAAAATCCACTAGTCATTCTCTGAAATGAACCTCAAGCATATTAAAAAGAAGGAAAATCAAAGATTCTTCATATCCACTGTATCTATAACTGGTGCCGAAATCTCTCTTTATAAAAAAAGTCTTTTAGAGGGTCCAGCAACTTCCATGTTGATAAATACATTATCTTGGTTTCATGTATTTAAGCTTATCCTCTGACAGCCAGCCAGAAAAACTCTGCCCATGTCCAGCAGTTCTACACTGACAGCAGTGTGCAGGCTGCTGTGGTGGGCCTGGCCCCCAGTACGTCGAGGTCTAGCGCAGTCTGAGCTTGAAGGTAGACAGCTCCATGGGCTCCAGGCTGATGATGGAGCTGTTGGAGAGAGGAGCGGCCGAGTACATGAGCGTCAGAGACATGGGCTGCAGCAGCTGCAGGTCCAAACCCCGGAACAGCGCCGACACAGCCAGCTATAGATATGAAAGCACACAACAGGCTTATCAGACTCACACAAGGATGGAACAAGTACATCCCTTGTGGAATTAATTCCAATACAACTTTAAAAGAAAATTACAGTTCAAACCAGCTCGAAAGAAGAAAAAAAAAAAAAACCCTCACCAAAGTTAATTTAATTCATAAAAAGCAAGCTTGGGGACATAGTTGGGCTTTAAGCCTTCATAAGCTTTGTCAGGCCTTTTCGCCCCTTCTTATTCTCAAAATAGACTTCTGCTGCACCTTGTATTTAAAGCCTTTTTAAGCTGCTATGACTGGGGACCCTCTGTGTTTTTGCTTCTGGGACTGACCTTTCCTTGTGTGGTACTGCAGTTAAACCCAGGGTTCTGAGCCTCCAGGCCGCAGTCCAGTCCCAGGCGGTGCAGCAGGAGAGCTGTGTACGGGGAGGGCGAATGAGCGTCCTGTGAACAACACACACAAAGCACGATACTGCTGAGATACAAACATACACAAACTAGCACATTATCAACTGAGGTGACAAAGTATTGAAACCCTCAAGCAAAAGACCCTCTCCTAGAACATTACTTGGAAAGTAAATCTTTAAAATCCTTGAAATTAGCTGAAAATACAGTAATGTGATACAAATACACCCTTATGAAAGAGGACTGTCACAAATTTTACACACAACTGTACTATAGTATTAATACGGCCAACTAGAAACAGACAAGCCAAGCTACAAAACCGCTGCTCCAATTCACATCTATGAAAATCTAATTACTCAAATATATGTTTGCATGAATTTTGTGCTTGGTTGGCATGTAAAAAGCATCATTCACAGCACACATTTTGTTTTGCTCCACGGATTCAGTCTAGTCTCACAAGCCAAACGTCTGCCTATTATCAGACAGTCTGGTGGGTTTAGAGACACACGTAATACGGCCAAAAACCACCTACATTGAGAACTGCATATTTTGACAAGAAAGGGCACAAACCATTTTTTGTGCCATGTGTAGGGCTAGGTGATTTTCAAAATGGGGCAACACCATAAAACACACTTTATGTGGCCCTAAAAGATTTTTCACAGCGCTCAGTACAGGCAACTGTTTGCAAAACTGTATCTCCCATGAGACAGATGAAAACTAGCGCACAGCAATGTGTACACAGGGATGTGTGGACAGCCAATCAGCTGATAAAATTCCACCAGTTATAGAGAGCTTCTTGTGCAATAGATATCAGATGGTCCATATCCCTGTGGGCAGAGCGTTTGAGGCTGAGGTGGACATTCTGAAATGAAGTACATGCATGACAAAAAAGCACAACACAGCAGAGAAGAGCAGAGGTGGGGAACAAAGAGCCAAAGTTCAGCTCAATTTGGTGACTTCTCAGCTCTAGAGCACCAACTAAACCTGGTAAACAGCTGATGAGTCAAATCAGGAGTACTTGAGCAGGAAAATCATCAAATTGTGCAGGAATCCAGCCCTCCAGGAACACAGTTCCCCACCCCTAGAGTAGAGGATGCCAAAAACAGAACTGCAGATGTGTGCAAGTTAACCTGGTTCTGAATGCTTCTGAGGTTGAGCAGATGGAAATCACAGGGCAGTGCAGTAGCCAGTGGGGAGAAGGTGCGGAGAGGTGGAACACCTCGTTTCTTCGGAATGACCGGCAGGGCCAGTACCTCGTGGTTCAAGATAGTAGAAGTCATGTGACTCAGCAGGGAGGGAAAACTGACTGGTCCACTGTCAACAGCCTGCAGAACCATATGCACAGATTAAAGAAGTAAGCTTACAGTACACAAGACATAAGCTCTTTTATAAAGGTGGCATGTTTCACAGGCAAACAAACAATGCAGCCAAGAAATAAATATGATACACCAGCTACACTAATGGAGTAAGGGGCAAATTAAGTAAATAGGAAAACAGTTTTCATTACAAGCCCTAAAAGCCCCACTGCTGGCATCAGTTCCTAAATATTAATCAAAGCCCTACACCTCATCCTGCACCAGTTCGTCTACAGGACGAGCAAATAATACAGAGAGCAGAAGTGAACACAGCACTAAATCATTCAGTGACACACGGAATAGAAAGCAGCTAAGGTAATGGACAGGAACGAAGTACTACCTATTAGCCTAAAGCTACAGTGGAGAAAGGGGAGCAGGCATAAGAGTGTGCTACAACCCCTCTGTTGCTGTGGTAACGTTACCTCTTTCTTGCTTTCCCCAAAAACATGAGCGATGATTTTATTTAACATGTGGCTGACTTTGGCATAAGAACCCACAGGCTGCATGCAGTGAGAGAGGGAGTAAGCGAGACAGAGAGAGTGACACCGAAAATGAGATGAAAACAGAGTAATAAAGAGAAAAGGATGAGTAAGCATGAAATGAAAGCCAGTGAGAATGTGATGGACGGAAGACAAGATCTGATCAAAGCAGACAATCACGCAAATCTATTTCCATTCTGTGCCTATTCAAACATTTTACTTCACTCAGATCAGCGTGGATCAAAAGACGTTTTAATGAAAACACCAAACAAGCAGAGTGAATTCATCTGTACAAATGAGCCAAGTACAAAAATTGATTTTCACTTGGCTACGCCCGTCAGTAAGACTTTCTCAGCAATATGGGAACAGTGCCACCTAATGGCCGAGCCTCCTCACTCCCTTGGGCTGGGCCAGTTTCACTCACCCTACTGCTGCTAGACCTTCTCTCCAGCAGTAGACGGAAGCGGTTGGCTGTCCTCTTGTTGTCCTTCAGACCTTGTCCAAGACCCCTGTTATCATCCTGCATTAATCTGCGGTCCAGAATCACCTCCAGCTGACCTGTGGGGAGGACAAGGAGAGAAAGAGGAAAGTGCAAATGAGGCAAAGTGAAAAGTAGAAATAATACAAGAAATAAACCATTTTTACTAAGGATGCATCAATACTGATACTGGTAACAGGCTGATATGGTGTTCATTTACTCATTCTCATACTCAAAAACTCATCCAATACCAGCTGATGCCATATAACGTAAGCCGAGCATATGCTGCCATAACACAAACCACTTCCCCCATACCAATGGAGACACGTAGGCTAGCAAAACGAATGCAAAACAGGTCTATGTTCCTATCAAAGTCCATCTATGCTGACTTTACTCTGACTGAATGGCAGTACGAGGTATAAACAGTAATACAGTTATTTTCTTTTGTAACATGGGCTGTACAGAGACCGCACTGTTCTACTGTGTACACCCACGCCTGCTTTTAGCTTCAGTGCACACTGTCAGCAGTGCTGCCGTAACTCAGTAGCTCAGTTTGTCAGCAGGTTTGCTCAGTACTCTGTGTGCAGTGTGTTATTTTGAATGAAACAGCTTTATTTGAAATTATTTACAGACAGAGCTGTCTGTAAGGGCTGCGTTTAGCATGGACGGCATTTTCGTACAGTGTATGTAAATCGCAAGCTTTGTCCTTACACAATAAGTCTATTCAAACTTACAGTGCGAGTCACCTAAGAAGACGATTTCTAAAAATCACACAGTGCATGTTTAGCTTTTGAAGACATTCAACTACAGCTCAATCAGCCAAACAAGACTCAGAGAACACACAAAACTCCACAAGTGAGCTCCTCCAACACAATAGCTTCAGATGAGATTCCTGCTGTCACTGTGCTACAGAGACCTTTGTTTAAAGAGACAAGAGAACCTTTCAGCTGTACAGAAATGCTTTTCCAACATGGAACAAAACTGACTCTGCAACGCTACTCAGTCTAAAGTAACTAATGTAACATAGCTAGCTAAGGCACTTTATTTAAAATCGTGATTTTACCAATTTAACTGTTTCTGTACTTATTTACACTAACAATTACTTAATTCTATGTAGCTTACTATGGATGGCACCAGACTCTGTATCAGCAAGTACTAAAAACCATGTACTTGTACTCTTGTAAATTTTTACTTTCAGGGTGACAAAACTGACCCGAAGTACTTTCCCCCCCTATATTTCTCTAAATCTGCTCCAGGGTACTGACCGCTGGCAAGGCTGCTGACTCCCAGGGCCTGCCCTGTGTGCAAGGTCAGGCGGTACTGGCTGTCCTGGATGTAGGCCATGGTAGACATGGGGTAGAAGTTGGCTTGCAGTGGCAGTTTCTGCAAGTATCTGCGTGGCTGAATCTGAAAGGGAGGAATCAATACCCATCAGTGCAAAATCATAGGCTAGTCCTCAGCCAAAATTTTAATAAACCATTTAAAAGTCATATTCATACTAGACTCCGAGGCTTAAAAACCAATTATAAAAAAAAGTGTAAGCACAATCAAATGTGCCCTACTTTTCCATCAAGGATAAAATGTTTAGTGTATGAAATTAGCCATAAGGCCTTGATTTTCAAAGTCAAATTTAATTACACTTGACTAAATTATACTGCTAATCAGGATTCTCCACTTTAGTGTACAACTAGGCTTAATCGGTGTACTGTTGGCAAAGAAATTCATTGCCAAGATGGTAGAGAAAGCACCACTGTAGCTTTTGCAGTGTTAGTGAGGGAGAGCACACCTTTGGATTCCTAAGAGGATTAGAGGGTAAATATCCAGTGGATTTGAATGAAGTTCCAGTCTGACTGACCTGAAAGCCATTGAGGTCTGTGTAAAAGGTGTCTTCACTCTGAATGTCTGTGAGCAAACGCATGGCCAGTTCTTTATTAGTCTGGTCCCTGATGTCCACCAAGGTGGTGATGTCCAGAGACAGACCATCCACCCCCGGCACATTATGTATGCGGACCGTCTGCTGAAAGTGTTGGTAGTATGTGACCACCTCAGCAAAAAGTGGACCCTCCACCACACGCACAATAGGAGGATCTCTTTGTGTGTATGGCTGAGAGACAGAAAACAACAAATGTTAACTTTTATGCCATGCTTTAGACCGTGTTGTACAATTAAATTCCAAAACAAACAGATGAATTAAGACTAGAGCAAAGAACTTACCTTAGCATTGCCATCTGGTAAGAAGAGGTAAGCTCCGCTCTTGTCCTTGGAAGGTCGAGTTCCGTAAGTAAAGAACTGGATCTGCACCCTAACCTCCTGAGGGTCATCTTTACGACGGATACTCTGACAGCCATACAGACAGAAATCAGTTTATCAATATTACATCTGACACAGTCCACAGATCACCATTTCTACCGCGCACTGATTCTACTAATCAGGACCTTGATAAATAGCTGATGATTAAAATCCTGCCATACAGTAGCACCTAAGGCCTGAAGGTGCCTTTCCCTCAATTATGTTTCACTGAATTAGGCAAGCAGATTTTTGAGAGTAAGTGGAGTTGCTGAAGTATGCATGAAGGTGTTTCAAAACTAGGTTACCAAATACACTTTATTATATCAGTATATATTATATTCTGATGCTTATTTTACTAAGTTTACAAGCCACAAATGCAAATACTTCAAAGTGTATTTCAAAGCAATACTAAGAATTCAAGTCAAAGACGCTGTGAACTTTAAAGCATAAAATCTAACATGTATTCTGTAGAAATTCATTATGCAACACAAAACAAAAAGCCAAAAAAACATTTTGAAAACAGAAAATCAGATTTTCAGCTTTTAACCAAAAATTAACAGCCAATGGACCATTTCTGACCAATTTAGTAAAACACATTTCTAAGGCAATCATCTTCTATAACATGGATATAATCAAACTATTTATAGCATAAAGCACCACTCACAGACAGAGATGCACAGGACAAACATTATTTGTATAACCTGAGGCTCCTGAGCATTTATATTTCAGTAGCAGAGTGGTATGCACAACCTAGACTCAAGTTAAAACCACAAATGCACATACTGAACATCGTTTAGACTACTTTGAGAACACAGTTAACATTGTAATGCAACCACCAATCCTCTCTGGGTATCCTGCTCACCTCCAGCAGGCCTGTGGTACCAGAGAAGCCCAGCGTGAGAGACTGGCTCTGGATGTAGAAGGGCTGAGGATCAGCCACCTGCGAGCGCACAGGCAGGGGGTCTATTCCCCGCACGCTCTGACTACGGCCAGGAAGTCTCAGCAGCGTATCAGAGCGCAGAGTCATCGGGGAGTCCACAGAGTCGTACAAGTGGAACACAGCCAATCCCAGTGCAGGGAGGCGGGCCATGAAGGAAGCCTGCCCAAAGGCCAGCAGAACAGGACAGTCAGACACACACTTTAGAAACGCTCACAAAACAACTCACACAAACACACCATTATATCCTAATCTAAGAAATACTGGGTTACCAAGCAAGCTTAAGATACTTTAATACAGCTACAAGCACTTGTACAAGAACATACTTTTTATGAAATGCATGTCACTGTAAGCACGTCAGGCATCTCAAACATGGCAGATTCACTGTTCACTGGCCCTGACTGATAACAATTACCAGACTGTAACATTTTTCCATATCAGTAATGTATGGTTGACGAATAATATATGCATGTCTTTCTGCATCTTGATACAGTATTAGCAGCAAAAAAGTTAAAAGCTAAAAGAACAAATGCTACTTCAGCCTTTTACTAACTAGACAGGGAGGGAAAAGTCAATCACTCAACTCAAAAGCCACAACAGCAGTCATGCTCAGTAATGAAATTAGGAAGAATAAATTATTTATATTTATTGAGGCTTTATGTTCCATCTTGATAATTTTGTCTGTTACAACAAAAACAATAAGTTTATTGTTTACCATTCAGAGTTGACATTGAGCTAGTGCTAAATGATTGTTTTTTTTTTATTACAATTGCAATTTGAAAAACTGCAGTTTTCAAATTGCAAGAGCTGCTGTCTTACATTAATCACAGTTTCCTCAAGTTTTGTGAGGAGAAATATAACCTAATAGCACAGAGCTTTTGAACTGGCAGTCTGGCACACTAAATTTAGCATTCAATTCTCAAGCCAGAAAAAATGGATGTGCTGGACTTCAAGACCTGGAGTTTAATTTAAAGAAAATCACATTCAAATTCCAATACTGGCCAGAAAAATCTCATTTAGATATTTTCCCCAAATCACTCAGCCCTAAACTGAATATTACAAAACCGTTATTAATAACAGTCTACTTCAAACAACATGATATTTTTAATCACCCAGCCTTATTTTACAGTCACACACAGGCACTCACCTGGTAGACCTCTCCACTCATCTGTACAGCCGAGCTCCACTGTGCACTGAGCTGCACCGGCAGAGTCTGTCCGTCCTCAGTGAGCACCCTGACTCTCGCAGAGTTCACCAGTACAGTAACCACACACAGGCGCTCCTGCTCCACAGGGTTAAACAGCACCAGGTACCTGAGCAAGAGCAGCAACACTCAAGTTTCCATTTATCACATCTGCTCTTTTGTAGTGCAGGACTGTCAGTACAGCATGTTGAAGATGTACAACATTACATGAAGTCATTTCATTTAAACCTTCCTATTTGCTGTACGGGAATGACAACTTTTCACACTGCACTCTTATTGGTCTGCAGTCAAACTAAGAGGGAGCCTCACCGGGGAGAGGAATCCAACTCAATCAGTGTCCGCTGGGGTAGGGAATCATGTGTGGCACGTCGATCATCCTGCACAGATGCCAAGCACCCAAATTCGCATCACACATATTCACAACAGCAAGAGGAGATTGCATTGTAAACAAGATATGCTGTTTACATAAATAAATATAACGCAAGCATTAAGGAGAAATAGTCTGCTCTCTTCACCGTCTCCAAGAAGGGCTCTGTCTGGTAGAAGCGATAGACATCTTTGTTCTTCATTATGAGGAAGTGTGCAGCATTAATGATCACTCTTTTCAAGCCAATAAGTGAACGCAGTAACCTATACAAGCACAAAGAAACAGTAAATAATTTAAAAAAAGTAAAAAAAAAAAAATTAATAATTTAGTCCAACTAGCAATTTTCAAACTACAGTTTATCGCTTTTACTTACTGATTTGTCAAACATTTCACAATTTATTGCAGCTTACAGCTTTATTTCGTGTTAATCACTTCATACAGGTAGAGTCTCTGGCTCTTAACCTAATGGGTTTTCTAAAACCTTCAGTTCACTCAGCCTGGCATTAAAGACTGACCTGGTCCCATAATCAATGACAACAGCCTCCTTGGCAGTTCCAGCGATGGCGTCATGGTGCTGGAAAAGACCTATATCGCGCCTGGCATCCGTCAGAAGGGAGTAGTCCGAGGTGGGGTAGCGCCCTTCCATCCCTGCATGGCGCGCATGGGCCACAGCCAGACTATACAGGATCTCTGCACCCCTACAACCACAAACATAATTTTCAGGGGTACAGCAGCAAGGTCACAGTCCAACAAAGCAAGAAAGCTAAAATAGTCATGGCTGCATCCATCATAGAAGAGAAACTGAATCGTACACATCGGTCAAATAACATTTTTTTAAATGTGTATTGAACAAATTGTGATTTATTAACTAACTTGTTAAACCAACCGTGTAATACATAAACAAATATTCTCAGACTTTAGCCCCGCCACGAGTGTTTGCTGCATGAGCCACTCATTAACCAACCTACCAATCTCTATTCTGGTTTTAATTTATCAGTCTTGATAAATCAACACTCTATATGACAATATTCTGTAGTAGGAGAGGGCAACAAAATATAATGTAATAAAAATATATATAATGAGGCATAAAAACATTCATTATACACATGGAGTTATTTCTTTTTCTGAGGTCTGATAAGTTGAAACAGACAAAAATGTGGCCCTTTTGATCCAGTTAAAAAGATACTATCAAAAACTATGAGTGCAATGATTTTTATTTTATGTTTCACACACTTGGCTGCACTAAATCCAATTAAGCAGGACTTTTTATGCTCCATTTATAATAAAACGAAGTTATTCAGTGTTCTATAAGTACTGACCATATCCAGGATATGCTCATAAAAGTGTGGTGTATTGTATATCGAGTGTGTTCACTCCTACTGTGCCGTAGTGTTTTTAACTAATCACATAATGCTGACTTTTGGGGAGGGGAATAAAGAAAAGCCTTAGGCCACCTGGCAAGAGCAAATGCTTTTGATTTTTCTTGGGAATACTAGACACAAGTGGGTAGTTTTTGACAATACAAATTCATTCCTGCCAAACAAGAAAGCTACAGCCAAAGGAGTAATTAAATCATTAAGCTAAATAAAGCGGGGCCATCTCTCTTGTGCCAATTTCAGCTAGACAAAAGGCTGAAGAATACCAAGTTGTCACACAAAGTCTTGTCATAGAAGGCACAGTATGTGGTTAAAAACTCAGTGGATGTTTTTGCAGAGTTACACACTGATTGTGGACTCACCTAAGGTGGGACTCCAGCACACGGTCCAGGTTTTTGTAGAATGGTCGGGAAGTGTAGTAGCCACTCCAATAATGATCCTCTCGGTCAGCATAAGCAAAAAAATCTCCACTTAGTACAGGGTAACCGGGTGGTCTTACCCCCTGGGCCACTCCATTAGCCTTATACACTGCACCGAAGTAGTCCGTCAGTGTGCCAAATTGGGCCTTTGGAAACAGAAAAATCTACCATTAACTATAAGCACCATTGACTTTAGGCAAATTTAGGCAAATTTATCTAGCCAGGCTGAATCTCTAAACTTCAACCTCCAAGATCAGAGTAAAGCTGATTTTATTTGACAAAATGCTGTGTAAATAGTGCTTACGCACTACTGAAATTAACAGACAAGCCTGCATTTAGAATAATTTGCAGGTTATATTACATTCTTGTTTAGGAAATATAATTTGCTCCACACAAACATGTAATTATTTACTAGCTGGGTTTGCTCTGATGTGGGAAAAACAACTCAGAAAAGTCTGTTCAGGGTTTCCATGGTAGAATGGCTATGCTTACCTGTACGTGCATTTCTGGGTGAGAGTTCATGTAATCAAAAAGCTTCTGGTAGTTGACATATTGCTGATCCCACTCTAGGGCCTTGTCATAGCGGAAATCATCTCCCAACGGTACAAGCACCACCTTGCTACGGAAAAGCTTGGACTTCTTACGATACTGGTCCAAAAGGACATTGGCCCTGGGACACAGAATGAAACAAGGAAGGCAACCATCTGTTACCTCTCATTCAATCAGTGCTTTACCAGGGTTCTTTTGGCCAACAGGAAAGTGATCAGAAGAGATACAAGAGCTTGTGTCTGCCAAGAGGAAAACAAAAAAAAAATGCCAAGTGTCACCAAAGACGATCTTTGTACATTTGTGTTCTCTTCTTACCTCTCTGCCACATTGGCATCCGAGATAGCCCGAGGAGGCACCTTCCAGGGGCAGTTGACCCGGCTGCCTGGCAGCCTCTTAAAATCAAACTGGCAGCAGATCTTTGGGTCAGGCCCACAAGTGTGAGGCACATCATAGCTGTAGAAAGGCATCATGTGACAGAACAGGTCTGTGCCTGACTCAGGATCTGTCAAAAACCAATGTAGTAAAAAAATGTAATAAATATCAACATTAATTTGGAGAGGTACAACTCTTGGTGATAAATTCTGCAAGGAACACTTGGCTGGATGTACTACAGCTTCTGGCACAAACTCTCAAAAACCTACAAGGGAATTAGCTTTTTAACAGCTTACTGAAGCCATGTCTAATTAATTGTGTTAGCCTTCTTATTCTTGAACACAAAATCAGTTGATTATTTTATTGGAATCAAAACTAGACAGGATCAGCCATCAGGTTAGCTTCTGCAGAAACAATGTTGACTGTATTCTACGCAGTGCATTGTACAGAGCTTGGACATGGAACATGGTGGCATAATTTTATTTTCGGATTTTTGCTCAGTTTTCACACCAGGGTTAATTGTTGCCAAGAGTTACGGCTGATGTGCTTCCTCCATGTAGAAAAACAAGCAACCATATCTTTCTCACTTTTCTAAGCAACGGTGCAGGAAAGCTGAGCATGCTTGGAGTAGAGCACTAACAGCACTGCCCTGATTAACCAAAGACAGCAACTAAGCCATCTTTCCCTGCCAAACAGCAATTGTGTTCTCCCAAACTCCTGTAAGGATCTGATCTTGAGAAGAGGACACAAGCCTCTTAGGTTCCAGGTGGATATCCTCTGATTGTGTGATTTGTTGAGTCTTCGAAGGGAAGAGAACTCACCCCAAGCCTGTCTCCACATGAACTCCAGGCTACGCGTGGAGGAAAAATGCTTCTTAACAGAGTAGTGGACCCTTTGGATGAGCATGCTGGTCAGGTTAGCCCTCTTCAGCAGGTAAGGCATGGTAGCACTGTGGCCAAAGGGGTCAACAGCCCACCCTGAGCGAGGAGTCACACCTGAACAAACACAATTTAAAACATTGGAGCATGGCAAAGAAGACATTAATGGAATATGCTACGTTAACATAAGGTTTAAACAAGCAAAATATTTGAGGACATTTGCTACCACTGTTTAGTGCTTGCATTGTCCTTTGAGCATACCCAAGTTCTTCTCCAGCCACTGATGGCCCTCGATAAGCTGGTCTATCATGGCAAAGTAGTGAGCATTGGCTTCGTCTGTCATTACCCAGCCTCCTGTCACGATCTCTAGCTGCCCTCCCAAGATAAGTCTGTAAAAGAGGATTTAAAAGTGAAGATCTGATCAGCAGAAAGGAAAATCCACTTCTAACGACAAGAATTTGCTACAGGACATAAATCTTTGTCATGGGTGTCCTACTTGCTCTGCTACAGAATGAAAGCTAATAAGAAGTTGGTTTAAGTAGTGGGACAGAATATAGCAAACAGAGGGAGTCAATATGGCAAAAATGGAATCACGATACTTCAAGAACTTTTCACGATACACAACATCTAATAAATTGGACAAGACAAAGAACTATCACATTTAAAAAAAAACACTACATAAAACTATAAATACATTGATTCACATTAAAACTTTTCACATACTGTGCTGCTACACAAAATCCAAAAAACAGCACTAATTAGGCTTTCTCTGTACTCAAACATGCAGTTGGGAAGTGTTTTTAGGTTCTGACAATATCCTTGATTTGTTCAGAAAAAGCATATTGTGACAAATTATCACAACATGTCATATCGCCCAGACCTAACCCAACAACAAAAAAAAAAAAACACATCAGAAGTTAACTCTGAGCAAAACTGAAGTATCTTTATCCCTGGTTTACAAAAGTAACACAATGACAACTGCAATTCAGACAATGAAAGTCAAACGGTTTTTACATTAAGATGTAAGCCATTTAGCTCTAACACTCACTATGAACACAGTTCTTAATTTGGCATTCTGTAACACACGTAATATGCGTTGATGCATATTCCTTATGACCCATCTGCCCCCACACTGCGACCCACCAGAACCCAAAGTTTGAAAACCGACACTTACTTGCGCAATGCGTCTTGTTTGTGAGCGTCTGCGCTCTCCCACCACTTAACAAAAAAGGACATCTCAGACCAGATGAACTTCCTGCGTGGGTCCTCTGCCAGCTTGACCACCATGTTATTGAAAATGTGCTGTGTCTGGTCATTGTAGTATTTGTCAAAGGTTTTAACCCAGCCTGCCAGCGCAGAAAGAGAGAGTAGTGATCATCACACTTGATCCAGGTCTTCAGACACCACACTAGAGCCAGCTGTGATGGATTTGGCTTGAAACTAAACTCTGCAGGACAGCAGATCTCCAGGAGTAAAGTTGGACAACCTTGCAATACAGTGCCTTAGAAAAGTTCTTCAAACCACAATGTGAAAACAGTAGGTTAGCGACCTAACACAGTAAATGAACACATGACCACGACCAGTTCTTATTGCTGCCAATTCTTATTGATCAACGTAGCAAATGCTCTCTTTAAAAAAATCTCAATAAAATGCTTAAGCACAGCACTTCTGCAGCACTAAACAACTTATTAAAAATAACACCGTCTGTTTTATTATTTAAAAGGAAATGGTGCTGTGCAGTGTTAAAAGGTTCGAACCTCTGTGTCAGCATGAATAACAACAAAGCAGGGCTGCTCATGTGTGTGACGGAGACTATTTCAGCTCTGCTGAACCCCATTAAGTCAACATGCAGCAGCCAGCACGTAGGCCGCACTGTTACTTAAAGAAAACTGGTAGACAAAGTTGTACTCCAGGGCTCCAGTTCCACAGAACAGCGCAAGTATGCACTTCTAGGTCATGGAGATTAAGTGTCAGGTACTAAAATTCTTTTAATAAGCCAGGAAAAGATTTCACTCTAGGCTTTTGGAGCTCAATATTTTGAGGTCACTTGACATACCCGTCTGGAGCTCATTCTACAACGGCCAGAGATCCTCAGTGCGTGTCCTGCACAGCACCACAGCACATCCTGACCTGCACTCCCACTGCCTGACCTACTTTATCTACAGTGAACTGTCATGCTCCTGCTGATGTACCAGCTGAATTTGCTGTAAAGTATTTATTTCCTTTACCCCAAGGAAAAATAACAGATGTCAAGTCTGCTTAACGGTGGAAGTGCTAAAAGATGAATTAAAGAGAGACACGTATGCGCTGTCCTTTGAAGTTAGTTACTAATGTGATTCAAGGTTGCACTACACGTACACCACATATCATTAATGCTTGAGCACCATTTATGTTCTATAAAAGTTATCCTTAAGATCACTGCACCCAAAACAAAAGCTTGTCGCACTGAAAAACAGACAAACATAAACGGTGTGTGTTGGTTTTACCTACCTGGGTCATTGTGGGAGTGAGGTACCACAAAAACCTGCAGGGGTTCATTGTCCCACTCAGTGGGCTCATATGTGATCTCAAAGCCTTGCTTCCACACACCTCCATCCACATTATCAAAGCTCAGCAAGGAGTACACATCCAACATCTATGGATATACAGACATACAAACACAAGCAGACACATCAACAAAGCACTGCCTTTCAAACCAGCTCAATATTAAAACGTCTCCCAGCATTCAGTGCTACTAAAGACTTTAAAATGCTTGCCAGTATGACTGCACTTCACAGTAAAGATTCAACAAGTGCATGATAAACCAACAGCAACTCAAATAACTTCCATAGTCATGCACCAATCACAAGTGTGCAATGATTTTTACTTTAATAATTTTTGTTAATGTACACAGAACAACAACTTAAAGTTTTCCATTATGGACTCCAAAGCTCTATAGTCAACTTTCATACCTCGATTTAAAATGACACACTCCGGATACTAACTGTGTTGCTCATTATGTTATTTACCGCTTTCTAATAACTATTAGAAACGTGAAGTTGCACAGTACAAACTTCATTAGACTAACTTTACACATCTGTCTTCAACAAATTTGGTTTTATGTAACGCCTGTCACAATTATCATGTAATCACCTGATGGCAATTATTTTAGACAGTTGTCGGGATTGTTATCGCCAGTTGACGTCACTTGAGAGCTACTAAGCATCAACGGCTAGGAAGCAAGAAAGCTAATCAGCCTGTTTGGCTGCTTTAGGCTTGTACCTTTAATCAGACAGTAAAACACCTGAGCAGTGAAAAAGGTGACAGAAACCAATCCCCTGGGGGAGGACCATTCCTGAGAGACAGCTGTAGAGATTTTAATAAGATAGTTCTTATGCATTCTGAGACTAAAATACAGGGATACCAAATAAGTACTAAAATGCAATACTAAAATAACTGCTTGGAATTTATTTTAAATATGTATTTTGGTGCTGTTGGTAGGAATTGGTTGCATATCATACCAAGGTCAAAAGGCCAACGTGTATGAAACATCTCTTTTTGAGACCCCACATCAATTATAAACTAAAGAATGAATTCAACCAACTACACCGCTTATGAACCTGGCTCTCTCTCTCTTCAATTTTTGGGAAATGTCCTCTTAAACATCTAATCTTAGCTCTGATTGACCACTGAAAATTTAAACACTGAGTTCGCTGAATAATGACCGTCAACTGCTGATGTGCTGTGTTTGGGGGACAAGAGGGATTTTCTCTTATAATTCTGGCAGCAGACTTCCCTACCTTTCTAAACTTAAAAAATCTACACAATTCACATGAATGGCATATTCATCACTCAAACCTGCGAATTTTGTCAAAAGGTGACTAGTTTGCATGTGTGTTTAGAAGTCGCTTACAATGAAAAAACAAAAAAAAATTGTTAATCATAATGATTCTGCAGTTAATCAGCAGTTAAGAAATTCATGACCATGACAGGCTTGTTTTGTGTAATTGAAAAAAAATTCTTGCAAACATTTTAAACAGTACAGAAATCCTCCCCTACAAGAAATCTGTACTGCACTCACCTGTAGGTCAGTCTGGCCACGGCGGCCCAGTGCAAACTGGCAGTCTTGGGGCTTGACAGAGAGAAAGGTGGGTCTGCCGTCAAAGGGCAGTACCCAGGAGCCATTGGCACTGCGGAAGGGCAGGTGGCCACTGGGGGAGACGGCACCCGTGTCTGTGAGCTCCAGCACTGAGTCTTTAATGTGGCTGATGATCTGATGGTTCTCCTCCAGAAGCTGCTCCAGCTGCTCAATGCGATTCTGCAACACCGAAATCTGGCTCTGAAATGGAGAGGAGGAAAGGTAGGGGAAGGGAGGCGTAATCTACCACCACACTTCTACAAAACCACAGATCAGACAACCAACTGGGTCTTCTACAGGCAAAGATAGCTAGGACCGCAAGACTGACATGATTATCTACAATCTCAAACATGTCTTGGTTATTTTATGTGCCGTGCTAATCCTTTTTTGTAGCTGATGTATAACTAACACAAACATTCTAGATATATTTGCCATGCTTTTAATTCATATGTACTGAATATTGTTTGGGGTGCTTGAAATATTGGCATAACTTTGTCAGAAGTCAACGATTACAATGCATTAGTCATTGGCTTTTTGTATGATCATGCCATTATGCAGTCCACTTATTACTGAAATTCTACAACACAATCTAGACAGTTTAGCCTGATTTAAAAAAGCTTTTGGGTTTGACAATGACCATTCAGCTCCTTCAAATCCAGCTGCCAGTTCTTGATGGGCTGCAAACCGATTACATGATTACCAGACTGTCAACTCAAAAACACCAAAAGCTTTAGAAAGTATGGCTTTAAAATATATGCAAGCAACACTGTAGAAATAAACAACAATCTTCAGCAAGAAAAGAGAAGTGTAAAGTGTTTTACATCCCTCAGCGCTCTTACCCTTGGAAAGTTCCCCCCATTCTGTCTCCTGGCAGGGTCGTGCTGGACCCGGTCCAGCATCAGATAGAGGGAGAAAACGGCCACACAGAAAATGGCCCCGCCACACACAGTCACCTGCTTTTTCAGCTTCATCCTGTCCTTTTAGACAAAGAGCACTACAGCAAGGGCTGAACGGGCAAAAAAATTCCACAACACGATGAAAACGGCGTGAATCTGAAATCCTTAAAAGCCCCAGTAGGTCCAGGGGGCAGGCTTTATCAGCAGGACTTCATGTCCTCTCCTGCACTCCCATAGAGCTCCAGTCTCCGGAGCAGGGGCGGGCAGCACCGAGGACGATGGTCAAATAGAACAGGCCAGCAGCCTGTCGACTGCAACCAAACCTCTGCCAAACACCACTCCTTCAAAGTGGCCCTTGTCCTCAAGCCTCAAGCATCCAAGCCCACAGGGACAGAGAGGGAAAAACAGGAACAACACAGGTCCCAAACAGTGGGAGCCCAAACAGGGAGCTTACTGTTCCTGCAGCATACTGTGTGTATGCGTGTGTGCTGCTTTGATTCACAGGGCTAAGATTAGTCCCTCATACGCCCGAGATCGCCTCTCTCTCAGTTGGCCGAGGAGACAAAGCCAACACAGTGAATGTAGGTTTTCACAGAGCAGTTCAGAGGCGAAGGCTGAATGAGAAAGACTTGGCTCATCACATCCCCTCTTTCTTCAGGCTCCTCCCCAAACAGGCTGAAGGAGGCTGCTGGCTTACCCTGAATGTCACTATGCTCTCGAGGCCCAAATATAACAAACTAAGCACAGTCTTCCCTATACGAAAGCTGCTGAAAACAAGCAATGACTGCCTCTATTCTCGCTTTGCAGAAGAGTGGAAAGGAAAAAGAGGAACAGAGAAAAGAAGAGACTGCCTTCTACACAAAAGTAAACTCAAAAATAGGACGAGTAAAGTGGTCTGGATTTGGCTGTTTAGTCAAACAGGTGTTCATCCTCCACTTCTCTCTTAAACCTAATAGGAGCTTAATCTTCTCGGCTCAGTGCCTGTCACTGACTTAACCGTCCTCAAGAGGGATTTGGGATTACTATTCAAACATTCAAATTGGCCTGGCTAGTTGTAAACGGAAACAAGATTCCTTGTCTTGCATTAGAAATATTACTCTTGCCAGTTTCATTAAATAAAAAAAAAACATAAGAAAAGTTCAAGGACATCTATAAGGACAATGCTGAACTGCCGTCATCCAGATTTAAAACAGTGCCCTTGTGTAGATGAAGCCCTTCAAGTTCTCATGCTGCCATGCTCTGGTTCCAAGATCAGGACTCCTCAGAGAACAGAAAATACAATCTGTGGACAAGAGAAAAAACGTTTCATGTGTCTACTAGGCTTAGTACTGCATTATAAAACAATCAGCTGCTATCCAAAGAAGATTACGCGAGCAGTTAGCCGGTAAACATAGCACAAAAAATGATTCAACATGGATGTTTAAATGGGGCCTTTTATGAACAGGTAAATGCCATACTTTGACACTAAAGAGGTGACAACTACGCTACTCAATATAGCTAACCTAGCTAGCTAGTTAACACAATAAGGAAGTACAGTTGCTTAAAGAAGAGAATATTAACCTAAGGTGACAGAATTTCAGACGTTGTAGTAAAAAGCAATGCGGCTTTTGTTTCATTCTGCATGTTTATTTGCAGACGTGTCTAAGTCTAAATAACAGCAGCAAAGCGAAGCTTTAGCGTGCTAGCTAATGTTAACCTAGTTAGCTACCTACCGGGCTACGTACTAATAACGTGTGTGCTGGACAGAAAGCTGTGCTGCTACCTACCCAGTCTCTGTTTAAAAAAACTGTTTCAACCATAATGACACACTTAATGCCCAGTACCGCTGTCTGCAAGTTTCACACAGACTGAATTACCGTTACTCTTTTCACAAACGCTGAACGCCGTATCCTGTTAGCCAGTTAGCCAGTTAGCCAGTTAGCATTAGATAATCCAGTCCACTCGCCCGCTATCTTACGGGCTAATTCGCCTAGCTCCAGCTCCAGCTTCAGCTTCAGCTAGCAAATTCAGTTCTGGTCCATTTTTTGGACACAGCTCGACCGCTTCTATCCAATTTGCTGCCTAACGTTAGCTATGAAAAGCCTTCCTGTGTTATCCAAGGAAAACAGTGTTCACCCGTAATTCCTCCTTCAGCGCCGCCTGCTAGATCAGCGCCACCGCGGTCGGAGTGCTCGGGACACGGAGAGGCATGATGGGAAGAAGAGGCGCCATGTGACCGGATAGATGGAGGGATTTAAGAGCAAATAGACTACCTCTACAGCAGAGCCCTGTGTGTGGCCTTTGATCTGGGAGGATAAGGGTATCTCTCACTGGGAAAGTGTGTCTGGAGTGAACAGTTTCATTTTTTGGCCTTTGTGTGTTAAGTTTTCTTATTAGATCCACCAAGTGTATTTCTGTTGACTAAGAAGATGATCTATGGCTTTTTACTTTCCACTCTGTCCACACAGACATTAAAGGAATGGTTTACTGACAAATCAAATGTACACAATTTACCCCCTTACCCCAAACATAGTCAACTAACCAAGACAGATTTGGTGTCTAAAGTTTGCCTCTTTAGTTTTGTACTGGAGCTACGACACTAATGTAGCTAACAAGTCATTGAAGTCTATGATGCCCAAAATTATTATGTAAGTAACTCCATTCTAAAACTATAGAAGAAAAATTTAGACACCAAACTTGTCTTGGTCAATCGACTCTGTTTGGAGTAAAGGGGAAATTGTGTAAATATTATTTTTCGGTGAACCAGTTATTTAAAGAGCTGTTCATTAAACTTAAGCAAGTAGTTTCAGTGCTAAGAGAAATTCAGTCAAAACTGCAACAGAAATTGAGTAGCCTGCATATATAAGACAAGATATAATTTATTGGCCTTCAAGTATTTATTGATTGATTGATTGGTTTACATACAGCTGTATATATAGCAGTGGTGTGAAAGTATATCTTGAAAAAGAAAGAAGATACTGGTATTGTTAGATACCAGTTAGAACTGGCAAGCTCACCAGAGATGCAAAAAAAGACTTTATATCAGCTGTTACTGAATTTCACAAACATTTTAGAGTGCCGAAAAAGTCAGTCCTGAAAAGATAAATGCAATGTAATTTTACAGACAAATGACAATAATGAGCCAGTGTAACTGGAACACTGAGAAACTGAAAAACCTGCAGATCGTTTAATGACTTACTGACAAGGAACTGTCTGTATAAACACAAAAATGCTGGTTTCCCATATATGGACTAACCCTGGTCTTGGACTAAATTGCCAAGCAAACAGTGAACCTACTACTTGAAATTCTGTTTAGACCTCTGGGTCTAAGAAAGTGTCCCACATGAATAAGAACTGGGCTTGGCTGTGGCAAAGATGCATATTACGTGCGTAGAGTTGTGATGTCCAAATTCCTTACCTTGAGCTTTAGACGACTTCAGTTTGAACTGAAAAGGGCAGCTGAACACACACAAAGGCTAAAATGAAAAGAATATCCATGGCCAGCTTTGTGCATGACACATTGAACATGCTCTGAAAGATAAAGCTGAATGAGGCCTACATTTAAGATACAGCATTAAGTTATGTTAGAAAGACACTATGGAAGAGCCTCACTGAGATAAAAGCTGGGCTAAGACTCAATTATTTATATAGGCTACAGGCTGTCAAGGAGTCCATGGAAAATTCCTTCCAGATACGTGTGTACTGAGGAATGTTCTGGAGCCATACTGAGAAAGTCATGCTACCACTCGACTGTTTTCAGGACACACCTGGCTTTTGTATCTGAGTAGGAACTAATAATATCATCTGTCTTAGAGTCCCAGCTCTCTACTGCTAAGTGGGACAGAATGACACTATGAAGGCCTATATTGTTTCTTTCAATTCAATACCTCACCTCCACTGGTCATGTGTCAGTTGCGAGGGTCTCAAAGCAACAGCATGAGTACACATGCTTCTCAACTCCCACCCTGGGACAACAAGCACTAGCATTACCAGATGAGAAGTGGGTCTCCAGATCTCTCACGCTTTTGCCTCTCTCCAAGGCAACTTGCTTCACAGAGAAACATTTCCAGAAGGAGTTTTTCCAGAAGGAGGCTTTTAACATTGAAGCCTATTTAAATAGATCCTAACCCAAAGCATGGGCAAAAAACATAAATATATAACAATAAATATTTAGGCATAAAAGAAAGTCAGTGTCACTTTCATATGTGCACACACATTCATGTAATTCACATATTCAGGTATTGGTTTTAAAAACTAATGTTTTGGGTGAAAAAGGACATTTAACTTCATTTTGAAAAGTCTGAACCAAAAGGAACTTTTGCAGATATAAAGGCTTTTATGAACTGACCTAGGTTCACCCCATGCACTTCACCTGAATTGCACCTTCTATCTACCTAACTGTAGATATAACCTTAATTACACCTTACATTACTGTGCAAAAGTCAGAGACCACCCTCCGTTTATTTAATGTCTAGTCCAAATGGCCATTAATTACGATGTTATTCATTTTCAGGAGATAATTCTGAGGAGATCTGATACAAGATAAACAACTTGCATAAGGAAAGGTAAAATCAAAAGAAAATAAGTGAAGAAACAGGGGTTTCCCAAACTGCAGTTTAAACACGCTTCTGACAGCTGTGTTGGTCGAACTGACCCCATCAGATAAACAGCACTTAAAGCTTTCATCTTTGAGAGAGAGGAGAAAATCAAGCTCCACTCTTACTACAGATGTGAAGAAATCCATCCTTCCACTGTGAGGAATCATAGGGAGTGAAAACATTCCATTGGAAAGGAACTTCAAACTGCACAGCAAGTAGTGAACAACAGTTTATCACTGTGCAGGAAGTTGCCGGAAAGTTTACAGATCAGTCAGTGCATGTCTCTTGAAGATGTGTGCTGCTTCGTGTTTGGTTATGAGGCTGCAGGACTTTTCAAATGGAAGTACTGATCAGCTGCAGTTGCCTTAATTGACATCCCAAGCTCACGTGTGCAGGGAACATAACAGTGCCGCTTGGGGACCCTGTGGAATGGAATTCAGCTCAAGTCTCCTGAAAAGAATGGGGGCTGTAATAAAGGCAAAAAGTGGACACACTAAATACTGACAAAATGATATTAAATTTAGTCATTAAGTCTTCTGTATAATTTTCGGTCTGTTTTTTTTTCCATGGTGCTAAAAAATAATTTTCACTAGAAATTAAATAAATGAAGGGTGGTCTCTGACTTTTGCACAGGACCTTATGTACCCAACATCTATCTGAACTGACCATATACACTTTACCTCCATTGTACGTTATACACCCTGACGCCTAAATCGACCAATTACCTCACTTCACCCTATCTAACATATACATTTTTAATTTATAAGAGGACCAGACGTACATTCTCTTGTAGACAACCCTAATCAGCAGCGCGTGCTGGTGATTTGACTGCAGGTTCAGTGTCCGATGCTGACGGAGTTCAGCGGCCTTTTATGGTAAAAGCGTCTCCGACGAAGGGGCGGGGCTTAGTGGGCTGCGTCATCACTGTGCACCCTCTGACTGGGAAAACAGGGAATGCTCCAGAAAAACGGCAGAAAAATAGTTGGCTGAGTTAACATACAGTCGGTTTGGGGACCATTTGTTTTAATTGAAGCTAGGGGCTCACTGGGGGATTGCTGTGTGTAAACACGTTTTCTGGAACAGCAGCACGCAGACGCCAAGAAAGGTAAGATGAATGAGGCAGCAGCGCAATGGCGAAGCACTTTCCCCCTTACTGAGCACCACAGACACCCAGCCCCGTTATTTACACAGACACGTGTAAACAGCGCGATCTGTGCACTGTGGATCAGATCTGTTGCTTTGTATGTACATATGTTCATATCTAAAAGTATCCGGAGCCCTTTAGCCCTCGCAGCCCTTGTGAAGTAGGCAGACTGTTGTGCTATGACTATTAAGGGTTCCTAGTTCTGGTCCTGCTCTGCAAATATGAATGTGTTTTCCTGCTTCAGCACAGCCAGTTCAGCTCCTGAAGAAGAACTGGCTGACCAGTTGGGTCAGATGTTTTAGAGCAAGAAAACACTAAAATGTGGAGGGCAGGTTTGCCCCAGGACCAAGGTTGGGAACCTCTGACCTCCATGTCCAGATGTTTCAGCAGACTGGGCTTGCTTTCTGTTGACTAGTCTTCACTTTCTGCTCCCTCTCCTCATTAGATGACCCAGGACCCCTCAGCTCTGAGAGAAGAGGGGAACAATTTGTTTAAAAGCGGTGATGTCCAAGGAGCCCTCTGCTGCTATACCAAAGCTCTGAAAGTGAGCGAATGTGACTCTGAGAACGCCGTGCTCTACCGCAACCGCTCAGCCTGCTACCTCAAACTGGAGGAGTACAGCAAGGCTGAGGCAGATGCCACCAAAGGTAGACTTGTTTCTGGAGATATAGATGGTTATTGCACTGACGCAATGTGTTTGGATCATTTAGTACAGAGCAAAGCAGAATAATTACAGTAACTGCAAACATACTGCAGAGCAAAGTTTTTTGTGTGTTTTGTAAGTTGTAAGCCCAGGCTGTTAGCATGTCTTTTTCTCTAGCCCTTGACACAGACCAAGGGGACATCAAGGCCCGGTTCCGCAGGGCCCAGGCTTTGCATAAGCTTGGCCGGCTGGATCAGGCCTTCCTGGATGCCCAGAAATGTTCCCAGCTGGAGCCCAAGAATAAGGCATTTCAAGAGTTACTCAGACAACTAAGTGCTCAGATCCAGCAGAAGGTGCGTTATGCAGTATGAAGATAGTCCTTTAGTTATTAATTATTGCACGGTCATCAGTTTTAATACCCTACTGGGATACGTGTTAACTGTATTTGTTGCATGAGAGATTTTAGTGCATGTATATATGCAAAGTTTACAATGATAGTAGTAAGCTGATAGGTGTAAAAGTAGCATTGAAGTAAACTGTTGAAAATAACGCCTCTGGTCAGACACAGAAAGAGTGATGATGGTACCTAAAATATCCTGCATGAATGGTTTTCTTCACTGTTTAGATTAAGATTGGACTTGATGGTGACATGATGATAACTGTTTATGTGTACTCTCATTCCTCTAGGCTGTGCAGCTCTCGTCTACAGACTCCCGAGTTCAGCAGATGTTCAAACTCCTGTTGGACAACTCTGCCCAGACCTCAGACAGACAGAAGGTATTTAAATGTCTGAGGCTATGGTTTTAAATTTTGACGTAATATTAAATTCCACTGTGTAAAATCCCCTTTCTTTGGCCCAGGCTGCTCAGAACCTGGTTGTGCTCTCTCGTGAAGATGCAGGAGCAGAGCAGATCTTCAGGAATGATGGTGTAAAGCTTCTGCAGAGGCTGCTGGAGTCTCAGCAGGAGGAATTTGTCCTCTCTGCACTCAGAACACTGGTTGGCCTGTGCACAGGGCACCAGTCAAGGGTGAGGCACTTTGAGATCCATTAGATTCTTCAACTCATTTAGAGATATCCACCTACCTAAATATGGTGTTAAATGCAGTTTTAGTTGTTAAATAAACATATTTTTGCTGTTTGCAAGCCACTCTAGCTGTCATGCCTGAGACAGCTGAGCTGAAGTCCCTCACCTTGTCCTAACACCTGTTGTTTATCCAAATCTCTTTTGCATATAGACCATGGCCATAGTGAATGAGCTGGGCATGGACAGGCTGTGTGGGGTCATGGGCTCTGGGGCATCCACTGTGTCCCTGTCTGCCTGTCACCTGCTTCAAGTGATGTTTGAGGCTCTTACTGAAGGCATGAAGAAGGATGTCAGAGGGAAGGATGAGGCTATACTGCCAGGTGAGAGTCTGGTCATGCGCAATTAGTACGAAATACCCAATGGATTCCCTCATTTAAATTTTAAAATATTGAACACACACATTAATAAGCAGAAAACATGTTTGTTGAGACACATCAGCTCTTACAAAAAAGTTCTAACTTCTGACTGGTGCTATAACACCTTTAGAGGGCAGCGAAGAGAAATCTTGAGCTTCAGCTATTTCTGTTGTTGGAAGCCACTAAGGCCCAAATTTCTTCTTTTTACCCCTACCCCTTGTTTTCGAGTGTCACCTTAACCCTTTGGAACTGAGTTACAATGGGGTAGTGGTTGAAATCTTGCCCTGAAAAATGGGACGACACTCAAAAAAAAAAAAAAAAAACAAACACATCGCTTCATTAACAGGCTACTAGCGGTGCTCTGTAGGCGACCCGGCCCATCTTCAGTGACAGCAAGGGAAAGGGAAAAATTCAGCGACCTCGCTGCTGGGCTTTAGTTACCTTTAGGGCATCATATGCCTTCAAAGAGGGGGTATAAGACAATTATTTATTATCGCCCACCGCTAATTCTTTGGTGATACGAAGCTGAATGTTCGAATTTTCCCGTTCCACCTTAAATGGTGCAGCAGTTACATTCTAGCGCTTCAGGCGTCAATACTGCTGGACTGTTTAATGTGGAACGGAAAAGTTAGCTAGCTACCGAGACATTAGCATGCTATTAGCGATTTTTTATGCTTGTTATGAAGAAAATGACCCTAATACATTGAAACAACATTAAAATAAGATACTGCAATGGTTTTCTTAATTTTTAACAGAGAAAATGCTCACATTTGTGGGTTTCTTTGGTTGCTCGCGCAGCCATCTTGTCGGTTTTTCTTCTTTTCTCATAAGTCCGTTTGGAGTGTGCCTCTGAAAAACCTCCGTTTGGAGGGCTATGTAGCCCTAACACTTCGCTCTACCCCTCTATCTCAACAAAAATTGGGACGCCCTAACCCTGGACGTGAACGCGCAAAACAGAGGGCTAAGTGGTAGGGGCAAGGGGTTAAATGGGATTGGGCCTAAGTATCGACAGCTAAGAAGCAAGCTAGCTAATCAGCCAGTTTGGCCACTTTAGGCTTGTACTTTAATAGTTGCATACAAAGCACAATAGTTGACAATTAAATAGTTATTAAATAATTATTTATACGGAAATTAATTGTCAGCTAAAATGTCATGACTGTGAGAGGGCTATATAATTCAAAGTACTGTAGACTAATGAGGACATGAAAGATTTTTTTCTCAGTGATGTGTGCAGTTATGTTACTATGCCTTTATTACGCAGATTTTGCTTTGCAGTCATAAACTGCCCACATTTTAGATCTTTTGCAACATTTATTGCCAGTGAAAACCTAAAAATGACTAAAATTGAGCTAAAACCCCTGAAAAACTGAACAATGCAAGGGCAGCTATGTTGAGGTCTCCACATGAAATTCCCCTTACCTTCCAAATCTCTCATTCATTCTGCCAAATCAACAGCAGTATAGAGTATGTGAGTATAGATCTGTATGGTGATGTTTTAATATGTCTTTATGACTTGTGCCTTTTCTGCAGAGCCTTCGCGTGAGCTGCGTTCCATGCTGCGTCATCTTATCGACATGCTTGCTGCATCAAATGTGTCTGGGTCAGGGCGTGACAGTGCCATCAACCTGCTGGTCAAACAGGTGCCCAGGAAATCCCAGAAACACCCAGACAACTCCCTCACACTGTGGGTCATCGACAATGGTGAGGGCCACATCACCTACTCTTACTTGATTGTAGACTCTCACTCAGCCTAGACCACATTGGACATGGGGTAAATTATTCAAAACACATTGACATGATTATTAATTTATTTAATCTTCTAGCAAAACTGTCATTTAAACTTTCCAGGGAAACTTTCCATGTGCTTCTCAGAATGTTGCTTCTCTAGCACACTTACATCTGATCTATCAAACTTTGTCTGTACTCCATTGTGTTCCCCACAGGGCTGAAGAAGATTTTGGAAGTGGCTGGTACAGTTCCAGAGATTACAGATGGGCCACCGCTGACTGACAACACCCTCATGAGCTGTTCTGTCCTCCTCAATAAGCTATATGATGATCTGAAGAGTGACAAAGAGAGGGAGAACTTCAACATGCTGTGTGAGGAATATGTCCAGTGAGTATTGGTTTGCAACAGGGTGGAAGTACTGAAAATCCCTACTTAAGTGAAAGTACTGTATTGATTTGATTTACTTGAGTACAAGTAGAAGTATATACTTTATTGACTATGATTATAATCAATTATAAAACTCCAAAATTGATGCAGTTGAATTGCTTTCAGATGCATTTTACACCTGTGTGCGCCACCTGTATGTAACTTCGAGGAGCATCTTTTCTGTGCAGGCACCACTTTAGGGGCCCAGGCTTGGAGAGTAAACTACGTGCAATACAGACAGTTTCAGTTCTACTCCAAGGTCCCAGTGATGTGGGCAATCGCACCCTGGAGATGTCGGGCATCATGGATGCTGTCATTTCTCTGTGCGCCTCTGAGAACATCACCCACCAGCAGGTGGCAGTAGAGACTCTCATCCATGCTGCAGGGAAGGCCAAGAGAGCCTCCTTCATCACAGCTAACGGAGTGGCCCTGCTGAAGGACCTTTATAAGAAGAGTGAAAACGAGCAGATAAGAGTGCGAGCTCTTGTGGTGAGTCAAAGCAGCTGCTACAGTGAATAAAGGTTTCTGTACCTAATGTGGTTTTATTAATGCCAGTGCATTTATTGATTATAGGTTAATAAAGTGGTGTATATGAAGTGGAGTACTTTACCGTAATTTGGCATACAATATATGACTGTTCAGCTGTTGGGGTGATATGTGAGAATGTGTTTTGATTTCTTTTAAATTGTGGTGTGTTGTTTTGCAGGGATTGTGTAAACTTGGTTCGGCTGGAGGAACAGATTTCAGCATGAAGCAGTTTGCAGAGGGGTCGACTCTCAAACTCGCCAAACAGTGTAGGAAGTATGTTGCTTGTTTCCACATCTCAGACAGCATTAAAGGAGATGTAGCAAACAAATCTGCATTTTTCTTGCCAGTTTACATATATGTGTGACTTATCATTGCATCGGCCATCTGAGAACAATGTGTAATGCAAAGTCTCTGCCATTTTGTTTTATTTCCTTTTTACAAAAAACGTAATTCTACAGGATTTGTTGCTTGACGTAGTGTCACTGCTAGCAAACATCCCACCCCACTCAAACAAACTCCCACTCACTCAGCTTTCATTTTTTGCATCATTGCAGCTGTTGTCTTGTACGTAGATTGTCTCAGGACAGCAAAAACACTAGAATTTCTGTGTTAGCAACTAATGTAATTGACTGTTCATGTTAACAATGGTAAAGAAATCCAAGGCCCAGTACCATTTCACCCCTTGCCCCTTCCACTCAACCCTTAGCCCTCCGTTTTGTGTGTTCACGTCTAGAAGTAGGGTGTCCCGATTTTTGTTGAGATAGACGGGTAGGGCAAGGTATTAGGGCTTCATGACCCTCCAAACGGAGGATTTTCAGAGGCAAAAAAAAAGAAAAACTGACAAGAGAGCTGCACGAGTGACCAAAAAAAGCCCCACAAATATATTTTCTCTATTAAAATTACGATAACCATTGTAGTATCTTAGTCTAATGTCATTTTAATGTATTATGATCTTTTCTTTCATAATAAGCATAAAAAAATCGCTAATAGTATCCTAATGTTTCAGTAGCTAGCTAGCTAAATGTACTGTTTTACCTTAAATAGTCCAGCAGTTCTGACACTTGAGGTGCCAGAATGTACCTGCTGCTCTATTTAAGATGGAACAGGAAAATGTGATACTGGTGGATAACTGACTTCAGCTTCATATCACCAAAGAATTAGGGGTGGTTGACAATAATTATCGCACTTTGAAAGCATATGATGCCCTGAACTTTACCCTCCTCTGCTGTCACTGCAGACTGGCAGGGTCACCTACAGAGCACCGCTAGTAGCCTGATAATGATGCCTTTATTTGAGGGTTGTCCCATTTCGTACAGAAGATTTCAACCACTACCCCTTGAACTCAGTTCCAAGCGGTAAGGTGACACTCGAAAACAAGGGGTAGGAGTAAAAATAAGAAATGGGATTGGGCCCAAGTCTTTAAATTTCTTTAGATTGTACCATTTAATGTCAAACCACTTTTGAGTACTTTTCTTTACATCTCAATAATTGAACTATGAACTAAATTGTACTACAATTGAGCTTTAGATGCCTGTGTTTAAGCTAGAGAGCTACTATAAAATGTGAATATACACCACTGTTAGCCTAGTGCAAACATCCTGTAGGGGTGCTAGCAGGAATCAAAATTATCACAGAGGTGGTAATAAGATAATCAAAAGCTACTTACAAAGTGCATCTGCTTTTGTTCAACATCTCATCACTGCAAAGTAACCACACCTTCTACCCTGTGTCTCCAGTGAGACTGCCAATGAGAGTAGTGACCATTAGCATTCAAATTCATCACCAAGAAAGTTACCTGTTCTTCACAGAGGAGAAAATGACAGGTTATACAAAGACTGAAATAAAGTGTATTTTCTTTTTCTTTATAGTTGTCTTTCAAAGAGCACATGGAAATATGTTAAATTGAGAAAAGACTGAACTAGTCTCCTTTAAAGATTGTGTTAGCAAATACACAGAAGGGCAGGAATGTGGACGGCTTGTGAAGCTTGAAAATTTCATTTATTTTTCCAGGGAATCAGAGTAGCAGGCATCTGAACATAATCAGTAAATGTGCCATCTTGTTGACATGTTCAGCCTCAAAGGATAGGGAGGAGTTTTGCACAATATCTAGGTGAAGTTGCCAAGGTGTTTCTGTCACATGGTAGAAGTGGGAACAGCAGTTTTCTCTGAGTTGAATACGTCACACATGATGGAAAATCTAGGTTTCTAAGATAATATATTTTCAGTTACACAATTTTATACTTTGCTTGAGGTACAGTGAGACTTTCATGTAGGTGATACGTAACATAATACATAACCGGGTCCTCTAATGTCTTGGCAGGTGGCTTTGCAATGACTCTCTTCCACCGAACTCTCGCCGCTGGGCTATTGAAGGTCTGGCCTACCTCACCTTTGATGCAGATGTGAAGGAGGACTTGGTGGATGATAAGAATGCTCTTCAGGCCATGTTTCAACTGGCTAAGGTACAGGTGTTATTAACACCAATAACTGGTTTACAAAGATCACAGAGTGTAATTTAATCCAAGACTCTGTTAGGAGAGCCAGCCCTGCTGTATACCAGCTGGTTCAGATAGACATGAGCAAGATTTAAAAAAATAAATAAATAAAAATAGGTTGACTCATTTAAATAAATTCATTTTTCTTTCACATGCTTATGATAGATTTTCTGTGTAATTGAACAGAAACCAAAAGATGAATATCAAGGCCTCAGTAGAAGCACATCTACCGAGTGTCACTTAAGGCTTGTTCGTAAAGACTTGCCAGCTTAAAATGTCAAAATATCATTATGAGAATGAATTTCTGCCCTTTCTGCAGATATTTATTGGGTAATATGAGACCTCTAAAACAGTGCAGTAATAGGAAAGTTATTTCATGATCCCACAAAATGATGGACTGGAAATTCACAGCCCACTCAATCATTCCGTCTCTCACACTGTTCATTAATTAATTCTTTTCATTCTCTCTGTAGTCTGAAGATAAGACAGTATTGTTTGCCATTGGATCCACTTTGGTAAACTGCACCAACAGTTACGACATTGAGAAACCAGATCCGCAGATGGTGGAATTAGCCAAATATGCCAAACAGCATGTACCTGAGGAGCATCCAAAGGTACAGCATACTAGTCACACATTAGGCCAGAAATACAAATTTTGGTAAGTCACTGCTAAAACTACATAAATTAAAAAGCAATAACAATTACTGCTTTTATGTGTAGGATGCTCAGTCTTTTGTGGAGAAGCGGGTGGTTAAGCTGTTGGAGGCTGGAGTGGTATCTGCTCTGGTGTGTATGGTCAAACAGGAAAGTCCTGCCCTCACTGAGACATGCAGAGAATGCATTGCCAGGTCTGTGTCTGCTTCTACTGTCTGTTCACCTATCAGCATTAATGATTTGATTATATTTTGATATTGCTTTAAAAGCCATTTAAAAGGTATATTTGAAGGAGAGGACTGCAATCACAGATTCTGTCATAGCAGCATACAGCAAGTGAGCTGCTTGGCTTGAGCTTGCATTAACTACGGATGGTTTAAAAGGTCAGACTGGGAAAGTGCGTTAACAGTGTTTAAAAATAGTGCTGTTAATACTTTATTGTCAACATGTTAACACTATGACAGCCCTAAAATACATTAGGAATTACAGGCTGTTGACATGGTTGTCTACTTCCAATCCTGGAGGGCCAGAGTCCAGCATGGTTTGGTGGTTTTCCTGGTCAAACACACCTATTAAAGCCGTAACTGACCACTGAGTTGAATCAGGTCTTTGGCGTCTGAAGAGAAAAATCACTAAACTCAGAGTCAAGTTTACAGATGTACACTGTCATTGCAGAAAGTGTTTTATGTTCTCTCTTCCTGAATGTTGCTTATAACAGATGGTTTTATCTCTTCTGACAGGGTGTTCCTGGCTCTGGTGGAACGCCAAGAGGACAGAGGAATGGTAGTGGCTCAGGGAGGAGGAAAAGTAAGATCATGCCACCAAACAAAATACTTAGTCCACCATGTAGTCACCATGTAAGATTATTCACATTATTTCTTTAGATGCTGATGTATTTATAAGATATATTTATTGCATTTACAGGCATTATTACCCCTGGTGTCAGAGAGTACAGATGTGGGCAAGATCAAAGCAGCACAAGCACTGGCCAAGATCACGATCACCTCAAACCCTGAGATTGCTTTCCCTGGAGAGAGGGTGAGACCAGTTGTTTTGACTTTTCTGTCTTTAGGTTGAAAGTTGGTCTAAACGTAATTTCCAAGTTATCCATGTATTTATTAGGAAGGCAATGATACAGATACTGGTATGGAGTACCATCCTGATACTGTGTCATTTAGTCATACTGATATAAATGCTCAGATACCAACATCCAATACCACCTAACAGCTAGAGAATAAGCCTCGTGTACACCGTTGTGCTAGTATACAAACGACTCGAGCCATCATCACTGCCTGCTTTTAGTTTCAGTGCACAGCATGGCACAAGTTAGCAAAGCTGCTGTAGCTCAGTGTTTCTCAGCGTTTCTGCTCAATACTCAGTGCATAGCTTGTTTTGAATGAAACAGCTTTATTGATAATTATCTGTAGACAGCGCTGTCTGTAGGGGATGTGTTTCACGTAGCATGTCAATCAGACATCAGAGTGTTTTCATACAGTTTGAGAATATAAATTCTCATAAATCACCAAAGAACAAGATTTATATAATCACACAGTGTATGCCTGGCTTCAACTACAGCTCAACCAGCTACAAAGACTCCAACAAGACATAAATCTCGAACCATTAGGTCTTCGGCTACATTAGCCTTGGATGCGATTCTTCCTGTCACTGCGCTACAGATACTGTTGTTGAAAGAGACACATAAGGAGTGGGGATCAAAACTATGAAACATACTTTACTTAGAGCTCTACAGAAGTTCTTTTCTGATGTGGAACAAAACCAGCTCTTCTTCACTGCAGCGCTACTCTATCTAAGATAACTAATGCAACTTAGCTGTCTAATGCACTTCATTTAAAAATCAGCTAGATTTGAATGATTTAAGTGTTATGGTACATTGCACTAACAACTACTTTACTCTAAGTAGGTTACTCAGTATGGTATATCGTAATCAGTATCGGCAAGTACTAAAAAATGTCTACAAAAATGGTATCGATGCTAGTATTTATATGTTGTTTTAGATTTTGCTTTAGTGATGGCGTAACTAGTTAGGGGAATGGGCATGCAGGCATTTTTTAATGTAATGGATATATCAAACCTGTGATATATATATGGTTTAAAAAGATAACCAGCAAACTTTTTTTGTCATATCTGTAACTTTTGTGGTTATTGTCTTTGTGTGTAGGTTTATGAGGTGGTGCGTCCCCTAGCCAGTCTCTTGGCCCTTGACTGTTCTCTCCTGCAGAATTTTGAGGCTCTTATGGCTCTCACCAACCTGGCTGGCATTAGTGACCGACTCAGGTTAGCCCAGCACCATACAGTATTTAGATCTCTAAATAAGAGAGAAAATGAATAAATGTAAACCTGTTTTTGGCCCACAGACAAAAGATCATTAAGGAGAAAGCTGTGCCCAAAGTGGAAGGCTACATGTTCGAGGAGCATGACCTAGTGCGAGCAGCAGCCACCGAGTGTATGTGTAACTTAATCTTAAGCCCTGAGGTAAGTCCCAACTCTGTGTAAAATCTAGAATGATTGAGAGATGTTTTTAACATCATATCCTAACATCACCAGTTTCCTATGTGGTTTTTAGAATGGTTTTCGGTTTGTCTGAACCCTCAGGTGCAGAAGCTTTACTTGGCCACAGACAGTGACCGTTTAAAACTCTTAGTATTATACAGTGGTGAGGATGATGAGAGGCTGAGGAAGGCTGCGGCCGGAACTCTGGCTGTGCTGACTGGGGAAATGCCAGAGGTGTGTGCACGGATTCCCAGCACGGTGAGTTATTTCTGCATATCTGTTTGTTGTTTACAGGTTTTAGTAGGACACATTGTACCCTTTATACATCAAAAACAATAAAAACACTAAAAAAGGTCAGGATATTTGGCAAGCACCAAACAAGGGAAGTCAACAATGCTTTTTCTAACAGCGCTGTACTGACAGTGTCTGACTCTTAACAGATCGATCTTGCAGCATCAGCTGCTGCTAATAATAACAGAAAAGCAATAAAATAATAGCGAAGATCAGGATTTTGGCCAAGCATCAGCAACCTGATTGGTTAAATTCAAACTGACAAACCATTCATAAAGAAGCAAATATCAAGTAAGGTTTATTATTGATTTGGTTGTGACACACATAGACTTTAAGACCTCAAGCTTTTTGCTATTTTTCTGTTTAGCTAACACACTAGTTGTGAAACAGCCTTACTTAAGAATAACTAAGCCAGTCTGCAATGTTTTCTATGTAGTTCCTGAGCAATATTGCTTAGGGTGTAATGAAATTTTAAAGAATTTTAAAAAGGGTTCAACTCAAGTTGCCATATTTCACATTTTAAGGGTTATGAAACTGTAGCCAAAAGACCAAACAATAAATAGTCATTTAAAACATTAACACATACAACATTTACCACTGCTCTTCTAAAGTGAATTAGGTAGCTAGTAAGATGTTCAAATATTTTAATCCTAAATTTTTTAAACCAGTAATTGCCAAATGTTAAGAAAATATTTGTAAAAATTAGTGATTCTATTTATGATGCTGTGATTAGTGATTCTGTTCATTATGCTGTAATTGAATTGCCTTTTAATTAATAAAACTCAAGCTGTACGATAAAAAATGCACTTTCTCCTGTGTATTTTCACTTTTTAAGGAATCTGAGGACATAATTACTCCACTTACCTTTGGAAGCTCTTTATGGTCTAGGCTTAGGCTTAATCTAGGTTTGGAAAACTGGCATGAAGACATTTTGTTTTTTCAAGCCCACTAGTATCCTTTCCGATCTACATTTCATTCTCCCCATGTCCCCTGCTCTCTGTAGACCAGTCACTGGCTGGAGATCCTGCAGGCACTGCTGCTGAGTGAGAGTCAGGACCTGCGGCACCGTGGTGTGGTCATCACTCTGAACCTGATGCAGGCAGAGAGGAGTCTGGCTGAGAAGCTTATGGAGAGCGAGGCGCTGGAGATTCTCTCAGTACTGGCTAAAGCAACTGATGCCAGCCAGGCCTCAGTCGGCAGAGCAGCCCAGCGCTGCCTAGACTTGGCTCTGGAGTATGGGCTCATTAGGAGCAATGACGGAGAAGCCAATGGGAAGTCTGCGCCATAATCAGAGAGATCCTCCGTGCAGACAAATCTCACTACATGTCTTTAAATAACAGTTTTCAATGTTTTGTATTTAATGTGTGATAGAGTTCCCGTGTGAGTTTTTAGAGCTGTAACACTGAATACTTAAAAATGTCAGAATGGACAAGTTGAGGGTTATGCAAAGGGCAAGCAAGAGAGGAAAGTCCTTGTAAACTCGGCACCCTTGTGTAATATCAGATTTTATTTCTTAATTTAATATGAAACAGAAACATAAGTGGTAAAATGCATCAGTTGTGACTTCAGAGGTTTGAAGCCTTTAGGTCACTGAAACTAAGCTGCAGCCACTTGCTTTCTGCTGTGGCATGTTTCACATTCACAAATTTAGAGACCAAATAATTCACCACCATTCCTTTTCGTTTTGTGTTCTGTTTTTTGTAATTATTTTATTTCCTTTCCCCACTTATTTTCAAGCACTGTACTTTTGCATTCCAGTCAGTCATTCGTTTACTTTGTCAAGTAAACTGGTGACGCTTTGTGATGTGGCACGTTTTTGGTTTAAGTCATATAGAAATCAGTCAAATTATTTAAATGTCTGTTTTTTTTCTACATGACTGAAAGAACCACGACACCTAGTTACCTTTTAAACATTACAGTTTAGCATGCACCATCATTATTCACTTAATTTTTCAGCCCACCTGTGAAATCCTGCTCTCAGTGCCTTCACAGGCTTTTTGTAGCCTGCATATTTGATGCAGTTTTTATACTGTTGATGAACTACTGTTTATCCAAAGACAAATAAACACAGTGTGTGTGAGTCATTTAAGACATTTATTTCCCCCCTAAATCACAGTTTCCCAGCCCTGGTCCTGGAGCACCCCTGCCCTGCACATTCCCCTGCTCCCAGCACACCCTCTTCAAGCCACGTACGGCCTGTTAATGAGCTAATTAGTTGGATCAGGTGGGTTGGGATCATGGAAAATACTACAATGTACAGAACAGGGGATAGTCCAGGACCAGGGTGGGGAACTTCTGTACTGAACGCATATCTTCGCAGGATACGCATCCTGTTTGTCCCGCTCTGAATCCCCGTTCCTCGTAGCGTGCATCTGTCAACCAACAGCTACCACACTACCTACTGCTAGGGCTGGGAGTCGATCCCCAAAAGAATCGATTCCTTGATTCCAGGCAATCGGGTGTTGAGAATCGACTCCAAAGCTGTGAACTCGATTCCACACAGTGGCGTTCGAGTGTGAGCGAGATACTCTGCTACTCCCTGAAATACATCCTTCCACAACGCACACATCGACTCTCCGGCTGTGTTTTACTTTAGACGAAGTGGAGCCTTAGAATCGCAATCGGAGTCGACTCCAAAATTTTTGTGTCGAACAACTCTCCCTACTGCGCATGTCGCGCTTTCTCGGCGTGAAGTGCAGACATAAGTGTGTAAAAAATTAAGCTAGAAACAATACAATAAATACGATCAATTAAACAGACATTAGACACAGTAAACAGACAGGACAGTGCACGTTAGTTAGTTTAGTCCTTGTGAATTTATGCTTGAGGAACAAAGCTGTTGCAGAGTGCAGTTAAAACTACTCCAGACTGAATGCACTGCATACATATGTACACACACATATATATATATATATATATTTGCACATTTAAGCCTATACATTTCACTTCAGAAACTCCACCTTCCAAATTCCTGGAAAGCAAGGCAAAGGACACCGACCTGGCAAACTTGTTTTTTTAGATCGTCGTGGCCCTAAAACCCTTCACAGACGTTATACATACAAATTACGACATAACTTTGAGGGAACAACCACAAGCAGGTAATGCAGCTAATGTTAGCTAGGTTGTGGGTTAGCAAACTGTCACTAGAATTGCTGCGGTGAAGCTAACCAGTTGGGATTAGCTATCACGAACATTAGTAAACAGGACAAAATAATACTGACCTGCTGATCCTGTGACAAAGCAAAAATATATACTGTTATCCAGCTGTCAAGCAGAAACAGCGCAGCCTCCTCACCCCTTTTCATGCCTTCCAACTCGCAAGGAAGCTGAAGTCAGCTTCTTTTTCGCTAGCTTCTTGTTTGAATTGTCCTGTTCCACCTTAAAAAGTGTAGCAGCTAAATTTTGGCACCTGAGGCATTCACAATAAAATTCAAACAAGAAGCTGATGAATAGGAAGCTACCTACAGTCTCATCAACTCTCAGAGGTCTCTCTACCTTTGAGACACCCTCACCAGTGCTAACACAGCTCTACGCCCTCGCCTGATCTAACAACTTTTTTCTCGATCTTTCTTCTTCAGAGCTTCTCATCTTTGGCTGTTTCTCAGCCATCTCTCTTTCATAATGTAGCACGTGCCAAATATACAGTCGCACCCCTTCCCCCTATCCTGTGCATGAGCACAAACTGCTCCCTGTCGCTGATTGGGTGGAATAGTGTTCAATGGTTCGGTCCGAGACACTTTGTTTATCTCCCACAGAGCCAGGGCTGTGTATGAACAGCAGATTTTTCAACAACAATAAAGTTGAATTGAACTGAATTGATTTTAATTGAATTGAACTGAACTGAACTGAACTAGCTAAGCACCCTAGTTAGAGCACATGTACGCTTATTGGAGCGCACCGAGTGAACTGTTGTGACGCGCTGGGTTTCTTCTGACCAATCAGAGACACGTACCGGCATGACGTGTCACAGAGGACTGAATGGAAGCAAACACGTGAATCAGGGCGAGATGTCTTAACTACTTCAAGGCAGAACACCAAGAAGAGAGTTTTGTGCCCTGTAATCGGATCCTAGGATCGACGTGGTGTTTCTCTCGCTCTATGGGAGTTTTATTGTCAGCGGGTGGTGAAGTGTAAAGCCTGGAAAGCCTCGTTCCGGACATGGAGGGTCGCCGTCACGTTTTCACCTACACCGACCAGAACTTCGTGCGTGATGTGCGCCGGACTGACGGAGAGACAGAAGGTCAGGCCCTGTCCGGATACGACACAGCTCTGAGATCCGGCTGGGCGGAGAAGATGAGCCGCGGGCTTTTCAGGTACCATCTCGGAGAGCTGGAGACGAGGGTCCTACCCGGCGAGGCGGGGTACGTCGCCCAGCTGAACATCCAGAGGGGCATCGAGAGGCGGAAACCTCAGGAGATCCTGAGCATCCGACAGAACTTCGACCCCAAACAGTTCAACTTCAACAGGATAAAGCCGGAGGAGGTGCTGTTTGAAATGTGTAAGGCTGAACCGAGCTCCACGGAGAGCTGTTTACAGAACGGCACGACCACCGCGACCACCGGCTCCTGTGTGGTGATCATAAACGTGAGCCCGCTGGAATTTGGACACAGCCTGCTGCTGCCTGAGCCAGAGCGGTGCCAGCCGCAGATCTTAACGCCTCAGGCCGTGCAGGTCGGCCTCGAGTCGGTGTTTCTCAGCGCTGATCCGGGCTATCGAGTCGGCTTCAACAGCCTGGGTGCCTTCGCCTCTGTCAATCACCTACACCTTCACGGATATTACCTGAAGCACGCGCTGAGGGTCGAGTGGGCCCCCACCGAGCCCCTCACTCCAGAGAAGAGCCTCTATCGTCTAGAGTGTTTCCCTAAAGGCTTCATGTTCTACACTGAGGGTGAGGATCCGGGTGGGACCGCCGAGGCCGTGTGTGAGCTCACAGATGTTCTGGTTGACAGAAACATCGCGCACAACGTGTTCATGACCAGAGGCTGCCCGCCCAGCACAGAGGCGAAGCGCTCAGCCCTCAGACGGGGAGTGCGCATTTATGTCTGGCCCAGAGTTTCCTGTTTCGGTGCCAAAGAGGAATCCGCCTTCAACGTGGCCCTGTGTGAGCTGGCCGGACACCTTCCCTTCAAAAACAAGGAGGACTTCAGCAAGATAGACGAGGACGGAGTGAAGGCCATCGTTCAGAGATACGTCATCAACGACCAAGAGTTCACTGAACTAGAAAAACGAGTTGTTGGAAAGTTACAAACTTGTTAGCTTTGTGGTGTTTTGAATAGCTGTTAATGAGGGTTCAATTTGACCCCATTCGATATTTATCATATTTAAATAAATGGTTGTCATTTTTTTGGCGAAGAAACAAAATACTTCACACAATTTTGGTTAACAGTCTTAATTACTACATTACAGTAAACATGCCAGTACTTTTCTCCTTACCTGCAGTGGTGTTACAGTTGTTTGGACCACAGAATGTGTGGAGAGGAAAACTGCTACTCAGTAAAAACAGTCAGTTCCGGGTTTGTCAGGCACTAGAGGGCGCTCCCAAACGAGTCCAAAATGAATGGGTTACTGTGGAGCATTTGAGCAAAATCATAGTTTGTAAATGCTTGAACATTTCTTCATATAGAAGAATACATTAATTTCCTGAACACAGAACAGCACAAAACATTTTAACACCGCTGTTAAATTTTTGAGCGCTATTGAACTCCAGTTATAGGAGTTAGTGAGTGCAAACCTGCACTGGGCCAATGAGCTGATCAGTTCGCCAAGCAATCGGCACTCAGCAGCGGTGATGCTACCCAATCAGCTCTCAGTAGCGGTGATGCTACCCAATCAGCTCTCAGTAGCGGTGATGCTACCCAATCAGCTCTCAGTAGCGGTGATGCTACCCAATCAGCTCACAGGTGATGCTACCCAATCAGCTCTCAGTAGCAGTAATGCTAGCATCCTACTGCTCAAAAAAAAAAAACGTACCTGTAAATTTTCTTTGCTTTTTTAGTGAAATACATCCTTCTACTTTCTAGCCGTTTACCTCCGTCACCTCCATTCTTTAAGGACTACTAGTTGAGTATCAAGTCTGTATTTGAAGCCTCTACATTGCTGGTACATCAGTGGATTTCTTCATTGTCATGGGCTGGATTCCCAGTGATGATGTATTTGCATAATGCATGCTGGGCGCTGTAGCGAGAGAACAACAAAGGACGAAAACACAAAAACAACACAAAGTCATGAACTGTGTCAAACCAATAAGGCTGAGGGATGCAGTGCTGCACTGTAGAACAGTACATAAGATGATAAATGCTAGTTTTAGTTCAGAATGCCACAATTAAGACATTAAAATACGGATAAGTAAGATATATCTAAATATGTACCTTGGAAATAAAAAGGACTTATTTCTTAATTTGTTCCACATATATTTATTAGATATTTTATTTCTTTATATTTTGTAAATGTAATATTTTATTGTATTAAGATGTAGTATGATGTATTTTTTTAATAGATCGAAGAATATGTAAGTCAAAATATGTCAATCAGAATGGAAGTGGATTATTTGTAAGGTTGTGATTGGCAATCAAGCTTTGTTACCAGCAGATAGCGGTTCTAAACTGAATGTTTATAACATTGTTTGAACTGTAATTAATTGCCAACAGGCAGACGTATAATAACTTTGTTTGCTCTCATTAAGGGCTGGTTTCCTGGACTAGACTAGGTTTAATCCTAGACTTAAAAAAGCTTTTCAATGGTCAATACTTATTTAATCTACACTCTTAAAAAGAAGATTCTTCAAGGGTTCGGTAGTAAAGTCAATGGTTCTATATAGAGAGCCATTTGAATGCTTAAAGGCTGCTTTGCATGGTGAAACAGTTCTTCAGACCGATGGAGAATGTGCTGTGTATAGTTCTATATAGAACCAAAAAGCGTTCTTCTATCGATACGATGTCAAGCTTGCCCCTGTTTTTCAATGTATGTGAGAGGCAGAAAAACCTGAGTATTTTTGTATTCAGTTCACCTCACTTTATGAATTTTTTTGTTTTATAAATGGTGGTTGAGTTCTACCTTTGTAGACCAATGAAGATAAGCTTAAAGTACACATGAATGGTAAACCAAAAAGTGACTGAACATCATTTCTGTTGTCCATTATGTGAGCCTGTTGCTCAAGAATAAAGTTGCTGCAAGCATAAAATTGCTGTATGTGTTTGTAAGAGCAGTGTGCAGGGGCGTAGCCAGGGTGGCCAGTGCAACTCACCTGTAAAACGTGGCCACCCTTCTGGCCACTGCAACAGACAAAGTTAAACAAAGTAAGACAGTCAGCTGTCGTCATTGGTGCAGTCTCTACAGAAATGTTCTGCTGTTTTGTGTAAATGGTTTTACAGTCAAAATCTGCCCTCAGGGCACTTATCCCTCAGTTATGATGCTGCTCTCAGTAATCAGCATATTTCACAGGTGAGTAACGTTATTCTTGTTTGTTTTGCATAAGGAAGCTACTAACACTGGCTTTCTCTGTTAGGAAAACATTTAAAAGCACCTACATCAATCTATACTTCAGTGTATTACAGTATTGCAGCAGAGTACATGCTTATGTTTGCTGATGCAGTTTCTTCAGAGGCAAATGCAGTGCTGAATAAGTTCCTGCTAAAGCTACTGTAGGTTAGCCTTTTACTTAGCCAAATATTTTTTTTCTCCTAATGTCACCTTTTTACCCTAGCATTTTGCCACCCTAAAAATGTCACTGGGTCTAACCTGACCCCCCTGTTGAAAAGAGGACTGTGTAGTTTACTGGACAGACCTCATTGTCCACGACATACACAATGGACATGAAGAGGTACCGTTCATGTCTAGAGCAGCTGTATCTTAAGTCACTTAATATTTTCTTTGCAGGTCTGCTGCTACTCAGAGCAGATGCCATAGACTCAGTGTGACTGGGGAATTACTTCTGCCTGTTCCCTGTTGATAGGTTGATAAAGTCTCACTTATTCAAAAACATAGTTTAGTGAGGTTCTCTGTGTACTGCTGTAGAAAAGCTACCATTTTCCTGGCATGAGTGAGATCAGCAAGAAAGACCTCTTGGCTAGATTTGTGAACAGAATGTCTAAGCTCTTCCTTGAAGAGTATAATATATTCCCCAAAACCTGCTCTATGTCTGCAGAGTAAGCTACTTCCTACTTATTCACTTAAGGCTTTTTACATAATGATTTAACATAGGTTTAATAATAAGGCTATTAGGCTTTACATATACATGCATATTTACATAAATAAACCACTTTAGAATAATCATTTGACTTTTCTCTGGTTCTACTTGCAATCCTGTAATTAGTATGAGAGACTCTCCATGGGCACGAGAAATATGCTCTATAAATGGAATGAATAGACGCATGGTTGATACAGGAATCATTTTGGTATCAGCAGATAGTTGCTAAAAACTATTAGCATAGGACCGATAATTAGATTTCACTGCTATTTTGAGCGGATATTTGATGCTGTATATATTGTACTCCAGAAGAGCAGAGCATTTAGTTGACACTAGGTTACTGCACTAAAATCCATTTTAATTTGGATTTTTTTTTTTTAATTTTAAAATCCATTATAATGCCGTCTTCATCACAGATTATCACCTGAATAAAGCTTATTTACTCTTGTTTTATCAGATAACATGTAGCACAGTAGCTTTGTCATTTCCTGAAGAACTGAGATGTTATAGCTGTCTGTCTTTAAAGCTTGACTACCAGGCTGTGTGCAATGACATGGGGGATGTGGTGATAAAGACCCTGATCCACTTCTAATCCAGTCCATTGTTGGAAATAAGCCAAACCTGGTTCTCTCAGTGGTGACAGACTTGCTACAAGCAACTGCCTCTTGCTGGCAGTGAGCCCTCTTTTCTGGTAACAGATACATGAAGTCTGTGCACTAAGCCACAGCCATCCTGCCTTCCCTTATCGACCATATTGGCTGCAAACCAAAGTTGCCCTCCGCTACCTTTCCCTGATTTTTATCCAGCAGCTCTGTGGTGTGATGATCATTATCATTAATTTCTACTAAACTAAAGCCTCCCTGTGCAATTTACTTTGTACTTGTTAACTTTAAGCTGTGCCGATATGCTGTTCTATCTGCCATGTTGCTGCACTTCACACTCTGAAACAGATAAATCTGCATGACATACAATATGGCTATGTGATTACTGTTACCAGTGACACCTTTCAGAAGGAGCCAGTCGCCCAACTAAAAACTTATGCTTGTGACTTTACGATTTAAAGACATTTTTAATTTAAAAACATGTTCAGACATCCAGCAACTCTTTATTATTTATTTGCCTCATTTAAAAAGCAGTCCAGTCTGAAACACTCCTAATAACCTCAGTGTGAATTGGTGGGGCTAAACTGCTGTAGGCTGAATAGGTGGATATATGTAAAAATGTTGGTTTTCGTGACATCACAAAAACAATTAGTACAAAATGGGCTGTTTTTGCAGCTTAGTTTCCTTATGTGAACTGCATGGAGTAAAAGGAATGTTTTGAAACAATGTCTGCATACAACATCAAACTCAATTTTTTCTAAAAAGAAAATGTTTTCCATTATTTCTTTTTGTGATATTGCACGCCTCTGCCCTCTGCTCAACAACGTTAATGCCAAAATGCTGGTATACGCCTACATTTTCTCCCACCTTGATTATTGCAAATCCCTCTTTAATGATCTCCCTGATAATTTGCTCAACTGACTTCAGTTCATTCAAAACCCAGCAGCCAGAGTCCTCACTTTTACCAAGCACACTGCGCACGCTCCTATTCACCATCAGCTTCACTGGTTACCAATATCCTCCCGTATCAAGTACAAACATCTTCTAACTTTCAAAGCCCTTTGTGCTCTTGTCCCTACACTGTTATAAATAAAGGTTCTGTGCATTTTTCATTCATCAAGGAACAAACATTGTAATTGGATTTAAGGTCCAATTTTGTACCCTAAATACGTTTTCCAGTGGAACAGTACATATTTGTACTTTTCATGACCTAATGTTTTAAAACAAAACAATAAAATAAAAAGCCTGGAGACGGGGCGTGTGGAGTTAATACAACTTGGTTTATGGAACAATTATGTTCCCTGACTAAAGATACTGAGATGTACTATTGAGGGTACCACCCCAGTGACAAGAAGGGTACTGCCCCAGTGGCAGTTTCATACCTTTTTTCTGAGAGTATATATACCTTAGTGAAGTCCTTAATCTGTACTGACCCTTTTGTTCTGTCAGATCTTCTGGCAGTGGATTTCTTGCAGTCCTATGCATAAGACTGTCGTCATTCAGTCCTACTGTTCTCAAACTTTGTAACTCTCTCCCACAGTCTCTGCATGGCTTCTCTACTCTCTCTTCTTTTAAAGCTCAACATAAAACTTTCCTCTTTATTGCTTAATACTCTTCTTCCTCAAAGTCTTAGGTCTGTTGCTTCTCTTTGTAAAGTGTCCTTGGGTTTGTAAAAGGTGCTATATAAATTGAAATTATTATTTATTATTATTATTATTATTATTATTATTATATGGGTCTTTTAAGTTGTTGCTGCCATAGCATTTTTTTTCTTTCTTTTTAAATTACTCCTTTTGAAAATGAAACCTGTCCTTTACATTGTATTAACAATTCATGACAATATAAATGGTACAGAATTACTTGGAATTACTTAGATGCCAATTACATAATGCTGATTGAGCATCATTTGAATGCCACAGCATATCTAAGTGTTGTTGCTGATCACGTGCATCCCTTTATGGCCACAACTTATGGAAGTGAACATTCATGGAACAGTGGAGCTCAGTGTACTTCAGTTACCTCCTAAGTTGTCACATCTGAATCCAACGAAACACAATCAG